GTAGCTCCAGTGTATTGATAGTTTCATGGTTCAAGATAAGATAATAGCTTTATTCCAAATCAGTACTTGTGATACAGAATGGAATTCTCAGCATTTTTACTACAATGGTTCAGTGATACATGATGTATGGTTTAATAAAAGTAGTTTTATACTCTGTTCATGTGTCTCGTTACGTTCATACTTGTGTTTTACTCGAGTTGGTTAGTTCCTTCCTAGTTATTTCACCAAAACATTAAGAGAGCGTTTGTTAACCCCGGGAAAGGGGAATCATGTTGACCATCATTGTATCTGAAGTTGTAGGTTCAATAGTCATGCGTAGACTAAGCACTGCTCGAAGGAAAGAAACTTGTGAAGACTAGGCATGCTTCAAATCCTGATGGCGTTGTATTTACAATATCCTCACTCTTGAACAGTTTCTTGAACGTGGACATATTTACTAACCTTCAACGCCTGCCATATTTATTAATTTGGAGGCTGAATTTAGCTAGTCAACCGAGTGGTGCTGTTGCAATATCTGGGCATGAAGCGAGTGTTTCTTTCTGATCAAAGTACTATGCGCAAACTCAAGCGTCCATGTAAGACCTTGTGGAGAGTTGTTATTTGAAGTGTTGACAAACAGTAGTGTCTGTCAAGGCTGCCCAATACGTATGTCTCCCGTTAATTTCGTCGCACATTAATAGATGTGAACCTAACCAAGTTGATTCACTCAGGTGTTGACTTATAACCAGAGAATAGTCTTTTCAACTTAGAGTGTGCGGATGACATTGAACTCCTAGGCGAAGACTCCGATAAAATACAGAAATATTCGAATGTTTGACATGCGATTCGTTACTTTCAGATGTACGATTATGCTGCAGGACTGAACTGCAACAACTTCTAGACTAATGAAAGGAAGTGAAGTGATGGAGCGTGTTGACCATTTTAGTCCCAATAGACTGATTTCTGAGGAAATCTGAACATCGATGATGTGGTGTTTGCCAACTTACGTTATCTCTGGCGTGAACCTGATATCTAGGTATCGTCCAAGAGACGTTTAGTGCTCGACATTTTGCTTTATCCTTCCTTATGGCTATGGTATGTAGCCGTTTCAAATGGAAGTCTTGGAGAGGTCAGCAGTATTTGACCACTGGTATCTGTGTCCTATCTCCCGTGTTCAGTAGTAATATTGTGATCAAGCCTAGATTCCTAGGTAAGGAAGGTAAGTTATTCGATGAAGTGGTAAAGCTGTATCTGTCGAGGTGGCTAGAACATGTGTTACACATGCCAAGCCATCGCCCTTCCCTGTCGAGCAGTGTTAGCTGACCTCGGATTAGGTTGGAAAGGAGTTAGGGGTAGTCAAAACAAAACCTGGGATCAATCCATAGGTCTTTTACAATTGGCCTGAGCCATGTAGAGAGGTACAGAGTGATTGGCTAGGGTCGTATAGATGCTACGACTCAATGGTTGTAAACTACTGGTGGCATGGGTCAAATTCTTTCTCAATGGCACAGATGCATTTACTCTTTTTGAACTCCTAGGTCAAGTTAAATATTGTTTGAGTGTGAACGTTACAAATAATTTTTTAAAAGAAGCATTGTCTGAACCTACTGTAAAGACTGACTGGTAGAATCGAGGTAAACAAGAGTGGAAAATGAATCAGTTTAAACTGGTTAAAAACTAATCTGATTGTAACGATAGAGAGCTGCTAAATACATAAAATAAAGCAGTTTATCACTTTTGCATGGTTTTAAAAAGACGCTCGACACTTCTGTTTATTATTTCTTTGATTGCTAAAAAGGAATAAGGGAACTGTGGAGTTATTCCACCGATCCTACATCATTGATTCCTGTCATGATTTAGAAGACAAAAATAATGAATTCCTTGAGAAATTCAAGAGTTGTTGAGTCAGTTACATCGTCTCTTACTTCACCAACCAAATTTTCAGATTCATGTTCTAAATGAATGCATCACAATAAACATATAACTTAGTTCTGTAAAGAATAGAGTAACTATAGTCTGTCAGTGTAATTGTGACTGAAGTGGTGTGACTGTGTTGAATGGTTCCGTGTCAATTTTATTTACCATGACAACACACAACTGCAGTTCTTATTCTATCGTTTATCTTCGAAGGTTTTACTTTTCATAGTCATCTCATGGTACAGGAAGTTTTCAAGTGTTAGTTTGTGGCTACTTAGTTGGTTTCAGGTTTGATCACGCGTTTAGGCCTAATTTGAAATTCCTTAGAAGTACACATGCAAGACTCTACTGGTGACCGAACCCAGGACCGCCAGGTTACAAATGACCTTGTTGACCAACCAGCTACTGGCACGAAATCTAATGGTTGATGAATTTTAAATCGTGTGTGAGTTTTAGCGCCACTGCCAGCCAATGTTATCGGGTAGTTTATGTCCTTGCACGCGACCTGGTGGACAGCAATGTTAACGACCTGTTGCTAGAACTCCAGACAACTTTGTCTTGTAGTTAGTCACTAGTGAATGTCAGAATTATTTTTAAGTGCTAACTTGTGTGGGTGGGGTACGCACTGATTAACGGTCCGAAACAACTGTCCGGTAATTCCTGATTGTCTAACCGACATCATTCCGTGATCGAACTTGTACAGAAAATTACTTATAACACTAACATATTTATCTTGAATTAACGTCATCTATGTAGATTTATAGTCTATTAGTTTATTGTATTAAGAGGTGCCTGGGGAATTCTGTTGACTTTTAACCGAGTTTGTCTTTTTAATGTGATTCTCTGATGGTGCAAGCTGAGGTAGAAACTTTTGAGAGACTTATTTAAAGTCTCTATTTTCTGTTGATTGATTATACTGAACCGACATTTTCGGTCTCTGTTGGCAATTTAACCACTGGTACAGATGTTTCAATGATGTCTGAGGATTATTTGGTGAACTGTGACAAACAGTGAATCCAGGATGCACGCTTCAGGCTTTCTGGGAGCCATCAACTGGATGCATTTGTATTCACAATGAATGATGGCTTTCTCATTGAGATTCGAACCCAGCACCTATCGTTTCAGTAACCATCCATATACTTCTCTTCAAACATTATCAAAGCTCTGTACTAGGAGCCAACATGTCAGGGGAAGTAGAATACTTCGGTCTGATATAATCAATCAAGAGGAAATACTAAAGTAACTTGTGTCCATTGCTCTTCTGTTTCAAGTGGCCTAGTGAATAACGCTTTCATGTTTGAAATTATGGGTTCTAAGTGCGAGTCCCAGTGAGAAAATAATCACATTAACTTAAGATTGCAGGCGTATCTAGAGAAGGGGTTTCGAATAGGACTAAATGTCAATCCTGGATTTTATACAGCTAGTCACTATCAATTGCCGACTTGAAAAACGCGCTCATGAACACCCTCCAGCCTGGCTAGTAAAAGGAGACCAAAAACGTGTATATAGTTCAGTGACAGAACATCTGGTCAATTCAGGACATTCAGCGCCTTTCGAAAAATCCTTCAAAGAAATATACAAGATTCAATCAAACATATCAAAGGGAGTGAAATTAAGACATCTGGGTATAGCCGAGGCACTAGCTATCCAAAAGCTCAAACCCACGCTATGTATCCAAAAGAAATACGTCCAACCCTTGTCCCTGCCATGGCCATCATAAACAGGTAATTCTTTTAGTTATGACCATCCCATCGCCTTTCTTATCTAAACTTCCTGTTTATTCATGTTATTTTTAAGTTTTTCTTAATCCCTATTTACACTACCATATTTTCATACCCGAACTTAGTGTTTATTTTGTCATTTCCTACATATTTAATCCCTGATTGCATGAACAATTATTCATCACATTAGTTCTTATCCAAACATCCTGTCTATTGTTGTTATTTCTACATTTCTAACCCCTAATTGCACAATGTCAATCTTCTTAGCTATCATGATGCTACTTTGTTTGAGTTTTATCTGTCCCCCTGTTTATTATGCCATTTTAGTTCCCAATGGTAATTTTTATTAATTTCACCCTTAACCGGAAATTATTCTGGAACTTTTCCATTCATTTGATATAAATACACGAATGTACAGCCTAGATGATGACTTCGTTGAAAAGAAAATTTTCTTCGCTGCAACTGTCCTCTTAACAACTCCTATGACCCCATGTGTATATTCCTCTAATATACAATTTTTACAACTTAAATAACTAGTGGTGTAAGTTCAGATAAATAAGTTAATAAATGAAGGTGTTTGCATAACCAACACTCATATTTACACTTTTTTATGTGTAACTGAGACGTATAGATAAGGAGTGACGTTGGGCGTTCAAGGGTGACATGAAAGAAGTCGTCTGAGGAGAAGATAAAAGCCTTTGTGCTGTTTTGGAGGCAGTTAAAAGTCACAGAAGGGAGCCTTCTGCAATGAAAATATACTATTGAAGCCCTATGGTCCATTCCGAATGAAAGGAACTGACTGATTTTAAAGCAACATGTTTTATCAATCTGGTTATATTTCGTCTCCATTATGTTTATTTATTTATTATTATCATTATTAATTATCATATTACCGTATAACTTGGTCAGAAATAAGTAGAAATTCAGTAAGCTTAGGCCTGACACCTGTTGGCTCTCCTAGCAGTTTTGTAAATCTGGCTATTGTCTATCTGGATAATGAACTCCTGGGACATATATCAATAAAACTCAAGTTTAATTTCAGTCTAAAATGGATGTTCGACTAAGTAACTGACAGATTTCATATCTGGGAATTAATTTGAACTATTGATAAGAAGAAGAATGCAGAAGGTCAGATTATGTTATGCTTTCAGGACTAAATGAACACTAGACAGGTGTTAGTGATTCCGTAGTCACTATCTATCAAATAACTTATGTGAGATATTGTTGTATAAGTAAAATAAGTTTATAGATATATGAAATATGCTTAAAATATAAGAAAAAAAGTATTTCACTCATTTATTTTAATGAATGATATAAGTGTTTACATATCTAAGAATAAACAAGATAAATAAATTCCTAATATAAATGGTTTACTGGGATAAATTAGCTGTTCATTTGATAGGCAGTTTGTTTCCCCGCCTCTATTGAATTCACATCGTCATAATAATTTCTACAGTTTAAATTAGGCTTTATTTGTATTTCTTTATACTTCATTTTATCCTTTAGAATACTTAACTTCATTGATTCATTACTAGCAGGATTGTAGAATGTTGAACTATGCGTTGAAGCCTCAGACGACATTGGTTCAACCGCTGGTATGGACAATGAAAAAACACTAATAATTTTTGTATGTGATGATGCCGTCTCTGATTTCGAATCAGCATACTGAATTTCTGATCTGGGTCTTGATGTCCACGTTGTTGTTGTTGTTGTCGCTGCTGGTGTTGTAGTCGTCGTGGACGTCAGGAGAACTGAAGACGGTGTGTGACTTAGTTGGACATGATTTGTATTATTATTATTATTTTTCGCAACTTCATCATAATCAAAGGATGAAATTTGACTATTGCATGAAGTTTTTGATTCAACAGCTTTTATCTCTTGACTTACATGATTCATGGATACTTTTAGCGGCTGTGTTCCTAATTTTGTATTGATCGATGAATTTGTCAATTTAACATAGTCTGCATGATGATTAGTATTGTTAATTTCATGATAATTATAGTTTAAATTTGTCAAACAGTTAACATCGCCTTTTTCGTCTGTCATTCTTTCTGAATGTTCTAGTAAAGGTAATTCTGACGGATTTTCAACAGTTTCCTCATGATTATCCATTTTATGCCTTGTTGTTTTCTTTCTTTTCCATTTAGTACTTTTATCTTGTGAGTTTTGTTTCCCAGCGTTGTTGCTGTTGTTCTTGTCACTAAGGTTATTGAAGTTATTAGTATTATTAGTATTTCTGTTGTCTAAGAACCATTCATATGGTAATAAATTTGACTGTGGATTATTATTATTCATAGCCATTTTCTGTTCGTTGGTTATTATTTTACGCCATAATGATTGTGATAATGATGATGTTGGCCGTTGCTGTTGATGGTATTTATGTTTACGTGCTCTTATTGTGCATATAATAAATGGTATTAATATAATAGCAATACCAGTTGTAAAAGCAATCAATATAACAATCATTGCATGAAGCAGATCATAGTGTTCATTGGAATCTGGTAGCCGATCATCTGTTTTATATGATTGATATTTATCTCCTAAAACTGTAGATATAGAAAAAACGAAGAGAATTTCAATGGTCAATAGATCAGTCAAGATGATAACAATTTTTGAAAAATGGAAAATATTTATTTCCTGATAAGACACTAGTTACTAGTGTCCAACCAAAGTACCTTCTACAGTCCTGCAGGTGGTCAACAGTCCTATTCACTGCCTTCACGTGGCGGAGGTGTTTCTCACCAAAGTGAGAGGGCGAAAGCGGATGCCCGGCGCTCTCCACCGGGTTGACTGTCCATTGGATGACAGTCTAGGGGAGATGTCTAAACCCTGATTCCAAACCTCCAACGACTGGCGTATGAAGCTCACTGGAGCTCACCGGCAGACGTATGGACAAAGGGCTTGTTGGATGTCCTGGATGTCTGGCCCCATTCAAAAAGGCGTATGAACCGAACTTCGGTCACCGGCTGCCAATGGATAGTGGACTCCTTACTCCACTCCTACTGCCTTGTAGGTCACACTTGGCTGTGTAAAGGCTAGAGCTGCACTCTCAAACAAAAGGCCGAGCGATGCTGGGGACATCACTCGTACCAAATTCCCATGAAACTTCATGAACTCTCTTACAAATTGCCGCGCCTGGGCAGCGATGATTCGAGACGTTCATGAAGCCGGCTCATCCTCCCGTAGGAGATAGCCGAAGTAAAGTAAGTAAGTAAGGTGGTCAACAGCGAGCCCAAATGGCTTAGTGGTAACGTCTGTGTGACGCGGGTTCCAATCTCAGAATGGATATGAGTTCCCTCAGGTTTGGAAATACGCCTTGCTGACTGGTGAGTGCCAACTAGCCCGAAAACTAGGTCCAAGGTTTTCTGCCGATCTTCCTCTAACCACCTAGTATTACAAGTAATAAATATTAACATAGCAAGATTTAATAAATTAACTAAATTTTGGTAGAACTTTTCAATTGAAGCCTCTACTTGCAAAAGCACACTGGGAGATGTTTGACTGATGAGCATACAAACTATAGTGAGTTAATCGCACAAAACGACCGGTTCGAATTATTGAAATAAGTATAAAATTTGGGTGCTGTGGTAGGGTATAACTGCATTATGGATAAGATTCTATTTTGATAAATCACATAGTGTTGTACAATAGTGTTAACCAATGACGTTTCGAGCACAAACTATTGCTTATAATCATACTAAGTCACTCACACAACTTATCCATAATGGACCGGTTCGGATGTCTTACAAGTCAAGTTCAGATAGAAAAAGAGAGTAACAGTATGAGAGATTAAAATTAAGATTGTAATGGATTAAGGTTCAGTTGGATGAGTATAAAAAGCGATCAGTTTTCAAAAAAGGAACCTGAGAATGGTAGCAATAGAAAACTGAATAATAATCGTACATACAGAAGATAGCTTTAATTGGGATAATAATAATATATAATAATCATAAAAAATATTGGTTATAATGGTCAATAGGTAAAAGACTTTGCCATGGTAGATTCAAGGCGACCACCACTTCCTTTTGTACTCAAAGACAAGATTTATAGACTATAATTGCACAGGTCTCCTCAAATGCAAGAACCTTTCTTTCTGTTTGTCTGTTGACAACAGTAAATGACTTGATGACGTCAGTATCATGCCCATAGTCTATAAGATGCTTTGTTATTGAAATTTGCAGCACTTTGACTTCAGCTCATTTCAACTAGTCGGACAAATGCTAAAATTTTACTCCGTCTTTATTATTATTATTATTATTACTAAGCAGTTTGCGAATTTTGACAATTTCAAGTGCCCTCTCTCTCTGATAACCAGTTATTTACTTATTTAAGCGATGTAACTGAACCATGATGTACCTGCCGCTTCGCGCGATTGATTCATTGCAGTTTACTTATGAGTATATATATATATATATATATATATATATATAACTGCATATAGAGGCTTCAGCTGAAGAGTTCTGCCAAAATTTGATGAATGTATTGAATCCTGCTTTACTAACATTTTTGGCTTGTTTTAGAAAATTTCAAGGTGAAATATTTTCATATGTATAGTGCGTCATTTCGATAACTTGAGATAATTACTACGAAATTCTCCCAGGTTAATTTGCTTGCTGGAAATATGATACAGTAAAGAAGTGTCATTTTTTACCAGATGATGGAGTTTCGAACACAAATTGTAGTTCATAATCATATCATCATCATCAGTTGTAACTACACAACTTCAAAACGTGGTTTTTATAGTTCTTTTTCTTCTTTCCTACTTGTTTTAAGGGTAGTAGGATCTTCAAAATGTCTGAGATTGAGTCATCCTTGTTGCACATGTCCTCAGTTGATTCGATAAGTGAAGCTTCGGTGACCACTTTTTCCCTTCACCCGGTTACATTGGATTACCCTGAAATTTTCTATCGTCTGTTTGTGTGTAACTGCATTTAGTACTATTGCTGAACTATTTTCTCAATTTCTTATGTTATTAGGGTCTATTAATCTATATTTTGCTGGGGTTTTGTGCTCTACTAAACTGCTTGATTCCAACTTACTACTTTGACCTATGCATTTGACATAATCACTATAGAATAAACTAAATTATTTTGTTTAATGGGCTCCACAGAGTCATTTCGCTAACGTAAATAGCTTCGAAGTGAGTCTGTAGATTTGAATGTCACTTTTATTCCTACCTTATTAAGAATCCTATACAAGCTTTCAGCAACAATATTAATATTTTAAATCCTTTGTTCTGAATATTTTCAGCTTCCTGTCTCTGCTTGTTATTGATGTCGCCCTTATTATTCGTGTTATTTTTATTTATATGTTTTCCTATATACTTTCTGACAGATTCATCAGAGCAATTATTAAGTGTCAAAGCTTCCCGTATATGCCTTACTTCCTGTCATAAATTTTCCTTGGTACTGTTTGACTGTTTTACCGTATCACGTGAACATCTTGCTAAGCCTACGCCATAAATATGCGGTCGGACGAACAGAAATCCAAATATCGGTTTGAATGCGTAGATTATCTGTGAAAACTAGAGTCCAGCTTTTCATCTTGTCTTATTTTTGTTATGCAGTCCAACACTGGGAGCTCCGCTTAATGACTCTCGAAGTCACAAGTGAACCTCATTGACTCTCCCTTTGAGTTGATCTTATTTATATCCTGAGACTTTAATATCATGAATGTGCCACCTACATACCTTTACAATCGATAAGGTTTGGAAGCTACATCGATTGAATCGGCTAGGACAAATGTTTTGCAGACCAAGGCATCGCCTTCCTCGACGAGCAATATTACCCGACATAGGATTAGGTTGCGAAAGAGTTTGGTGTGGTCAAACCAAAACTTGGGATCAATCTTTGAATTCTTTGACTGCTGGTTTGAACCACCCACATAGGAAGGTGTGTTTGTCAGTCATTCAGAGGTAGAATGCTTGCCAACCACTCATGTGGTCCAGGGTTCGATCTCTCGCCAGCATACTCTTAAGACTTGCTAAGCCAATAGTAAAGAGGGAGGTTTGAACGTGAGTCTAGCAACCCCACTACTGTTACTGAGGCTTCAAAGCTGAGGGTTGAAGACCCATGTTTCACTCAGAACATAAAGGAATCAAATAAATAAAAAAAAATACATAGGAAGGTGTAGACTGCTTGTTTGGAGACCTCGGCATGCTAAGAACCAGTGGCTAGAAACAGTTGTTGAAATCGCTCAGAATCTTTCTCGGTGGTGCAAATGCATTCACTCCCTTTGATATCTCATGTCAGGTAGTACCTCATGTTTCTCCCTAACATTTCCGTTTATAATATTTCTTTTAGATATCTTTTTCTATCTTTTCTCTGCTTTTGTTTGCTGCATGGAGTGTGGCAACTTGAAGTGATGCATTTCTGTGCAAAATTCTATACTGAAACGCTCATAGTTCTATCATACTTTGAGAATAAGACTGAACATCTCAGGCGCTAACTTCTCCCTTCTATCTATAAATATATCTGACAAAATTGAGGAAATCGGTGAGCCTACAACAACTCCATAAATTTTTTTATTGACTTTTAGATTTTCTCGTCGATTGATTGGACCAAAGTGCTCGGTCTCAGGTTGAAATGTCGGCATCTTGTGCAGATGCTTCGACGATGTCTGGAAGATATCCGCATTCTGGATTCCACTGCTAATCACCATCCACCAATTAAACTCCTTAAATTTTTTAGTATATTTTCCACTAGAACTGAAATACTCTAGAAGCCAGGTTTAGCTGTACTTCTAGCATGATTTCTTTTAGTAATATTTTGTTTCTTAGTATAAGAAATGAGCTCGTTACTGGCTAAATATTTGGACGCAAACTGAATTCCCGATGCTACTTATTTTTACTGCATTTAATTCAAAAGATGAAAGAAGTTTTCACTTTTAATGAGACTCGATATAATACTGTATACTGATATTGTTACTAGAACAATTTAACACTAAAATGTGTAGTATACTCTTAACCTCTTCGAAACTTCGGTTTGATATACAAATAAAGGACTGATGCGTATGTCCAATGTTATGTGTCAATCCCTTACTGATTATTATTATTATTGTTTCCTCGAGTTCCAATTAGAACATAGATCTTTAATAGCACATCTTCACTTTGTGCTGTTCCCTACAGTTCTCTTTAGCTGGCCCTAAAATTGCCTATTGTCTCTCATCTCCTCATACGATATCTTCCGTGTTACTTACATGATCCAAGATCAACCAGTCGTTCCTCAGTAGTGGACCTGAAGCGGGATGTCACCCAATGGTCTCCTCAGCATGTGTCGGATACATCATTTTCCTCTACATATTTGTTGAGCAATAGGTTCTCGATTGGTTCGTTCCCAGAGTTTCTTGTCGCCAATCTTTTCTGGCCACCTGATCTTGAGTAATGAGCCAAGACAGCTGTTGATAAAAGTTTGAAGCATGCAATAAATGCTTTTCATTAAGCGGCATGTTTGTGACCTATATAAAAGAAGTACAGTTGGTGTTGAGAATCTAAATATTGTTCTTTATACTGAGTGCAGAAGATTTCCAAACTGATTTTAGAATGATGAAGGTATGTCTTGCCTTTTCAACCCTGATTTTGGCATCCTCATCCGTGGCTTAGTGTGTATTTGAAACAATGCTTCCTGGAAGAGTGAAGGAAGTGACCTCTTTGAAATTTCTCCCATTAACGGTGATTGGTGATGTTTGTTGTCTCTGTTGGTTGGTTATCTTCACCAACTTCTGTCTTCTCTATGTTCACCTCGAGCAGTGTCTTCTGTGGCTGTTCCTTCAGCCAGTTTGTTGGTTTTCACCAGTAAATCTTCGAGTTTGTGTTACATGAAATATAAACTGTCGCCGAAGTCCAGGTCTTCTAAAGTTTACTTATCTGTCCAACGTATTCCCATCTTCTCGCTGCCTTAAGTCTCCCACATAATCCAGTCCGCCACAGTTAAGAATATTATCTGCTCTAATAGGCAGCTAGACTTGTTTTACTCCTGTATCCACTTTGAACACCTCACTGAGCTTCCTGTTGAGGGTCACCTGACACATGACATTATCTTATAACTGCTGAATGACGTTAATAAAGATTCGGAGTACTCCATGTTGTTGAATTAGTTTCCACATTACTTCGTCGTCAAAGCTATACAACGTCTTTTCACATTCGATGAAGCTGCTATTCCATGCTCTGTTCGACAACAATGCATAGAGTTGCGATCTGATCCACATATGATCCACCTATCCTGTATCCAGTTTGTTCTTCACCAGTGGTAACTTTGAATCTATAAACTGTATTGCATATCCTACAGTGGGATAGTGGTGATAACCAGAAATCTTCTTGAATACGATCCATCAGAGATAATAACCTAAAATATTCGTGATTATTCTACAGGCTGTGCTTGAAATTTAAAAATAAATGACTTTGGAGGTTAATGAAACCATGTTACCTTCTGAATGTCTTCATTAGTTGCTATTATTAAATAGTCCTCAGATAAAAGAAAGCAGAATCTAGTTCCGCTTGACATTTAATGATCCTTGATCCAATGCAAACTATAGATTGCTAATTATGAATGGAAAAACTCAGCAAATCTAATAAAACTGTTCACAAAATATATATGATCAAGATTGATTAGAATTAGTTAGATTGTTTAGGTAATTACCTTCTTGAGGAGGAAGAAGTTGTTTTGTGTCACACCGTTCAAATTGAATCCATTCACAATTTTCACAACTTTTCCTTATTCTCATACGTATAGAATATGGTAAATGCACTACAGTTATACATTCTGACCAAACTGCCCATTGATCAGAAACCACTGTAATCAGAGAAGAGTAAAATATATAGCAGAGAATGAAGAGAGAGAGAGAGAGAGAGAGTAATAATCTGCTTCAGGATCATTTTAATCACAAATCAAATCTTTAATTATTTTAAAAGAGAATAAGGATAGCTAAAAAGAATGAGAGGTTTGTATTCAATCTTTGAATTCCTCGTCAGTTTTCACCTCTTAGAGTCATCTGAATAATTGAAGTGGTAACTGTCTAATTCTATGACAAACAGTTGATTATTTTCAATTATTGGTTTTTTAGGGATTTTGTTTAATTAGTATACAATTGGTGGATGGTGGCTAGCAGTGGAATCCAGGATGCGCATTTCGTCCTATTTGGGACTCGTCAGCTGGATGTACCTGCTTCATCATAGATGTGTTAATGGACTTAACCCTAGGTGACTTCAGTGACTCAGGAATTGACTTTTTACCGGGCTATGAATAATCTCGTTGACTTGGAATATGCAGACGATATAGTCCTTCTAGGCGAAGACGCTGACGAAATGCAGATCCTTCTAAACACCTTGAGCCACAATCTACGAATGTTTGGCATGCGATTCGCTCCCGCCAAATGCAAGATGATGTTACAGAACTGGACTACATCGACGCCTAGTTTAAAAATAGGAAGTGAAGTGGTAGAGCACGTTGACCGCTTCACTTATTTGGGAAGTACCATCAGCCAATGCTAACGGGTTGATCTCTGACGAAATCTCAGCACGAATACAAGGGGATCGTTTCGCATTTGTTAGTTTACGTCGACTCTGGCGTAGACGAGATGTTCGACTATCGACCAAAGGGCGGGTGTACTGCTCATCAGTCCGCTCCGTCCTCCTTTATGGTTGTGAGACCTGGTCACTGAGAGTGGAAGACATGAAAAGACTAGCTGCCTTTGATCATAGGTGCCTGCGTTCTATTTCCCGTGTAAAGTGGCATAATAAGGTGAGCAACATTGAGGTTAGGCGTAGAGTTCTAGGTAAACAGGGGAAATCAATCGAAGAAGTCGTGAAGCTACAAAGACTGAGATGGTTAGGACATGTGTTACGTATGCCAAGCCATCGCCTCCCTCGACGAGCAATGTTAGCGGATATAGGGTCAGACTGGAAAAAAGCTAGCGGCGGTCAAACAACAAACTGGTCAAACACCAGTCAATGAAATCCACAACAGTTGGTCTAAGCCACGTAGGAAGGTGTAGACTGGCTTCCTGGTTGGGGTCCTCGGGCCGGTAAAAATCTATGGTTGGAAACAATTGGTGACATGGCTCAAAACCGTTCTCAGTGGCGCAGATGCATCCACTCCCTGTGACTTATGATTTTCAATGAAACTTTTGTATTTATTACTCCTTTGTCTCACACCTCTGCTCACTGTTTCTATTATGCTTTTCTTGTACTTTCTTCTCTTGCTTCGCGTGCTACACGGAATGTGGCGACTTGAACTGTCGCACATTTGTGCAAAGTTCTATGTCGAAAACAGACAGACAGACATACAGACCTGCTTTTCTCAGTGAGTGATGATGTTCCCACTGAGGCTCGAACCCAGTGCCCATAGTTTCAGACGCCAAAGCGTTATCCACTAGACCACTTGGGCCACGAGCCTCAGTGGGAACATCATCACTCACGGAGAAATGCAGGTACATCCAGCTGACGAGTCCCAAATAGGACGAAATGCGCATCCTGGATTCCACTGCTAGCCACCATCCACCAATTGTATACTAATTAAATGCCCAGACATTGTCGAGGCATCTGCACAAGAAGCCGACATGTCAACCTGAGACCGAGCACTTCGGTCCAATCAATCGACGGGAAAATTAAAAAATTCAATTCAATAATTTTGTTTAATTGGTTGGAGAATTTCATCATGAGCTGACATCAGTTAAAGAACCGTTGGAAAACCAGCTGGGAGTACTGGACAGCTATTTCGTCCTAGTTAGAATTCATGGGCCATTGGATCCGGTCCTAGTGGCTTAGTGACCTACGAGTTCGCTTTGTAACCAGAAGGTGCTGGGTTCAAACCCCTGTGGGTGCGCACTGGTCAAGTGTTCCATATATATATAATTCTGTTGCTAATGCAGTGTTAAACTGTGGGAATATGTGAGAATAACATTCTGTTGGAACACATTTTCTGTATCATACCACCACAATGAGACTGATATTAATAATACAGATAATGTTACGCAACTGGCTTCTGGCTAACCTATGTTCAGCATTAGATGGATTACACAATCAAAATCGATTGAACGTTTTGTCCATTTCATGGATTCCCTAGCCTTCGTATTACTCACTTTTTTCAGCCTATGGTTTTATAAAATGTCTTAAATATTTCCTGTGACCTAATGACTAGCTGGTTGAAAATACACCAGCTTCAAAACCTTCTGGTTATGTACTGTATCTGTTAAGGGATTTTCAGTGTATATTACTCAGCAGTTCAAAGTTAAGAGAATACATCTTGGAAGTATTGATTCCCTTTATGGGCTTTCTTTCAGCTGATTCATGGTGGTGAAGAAATTTACCCTGAAAATCTAACCTATGTAATTCGGAAATATACTTTAATGCATTAGATTGCTTTAGGTTCAAATTATTATTATTATTGTTATTGTTATTATTACATATTCCATGTGTTCTCAGTGTAACATAAGGTTTTAGCAGAAGTTTTATACTCCTTTTTCAGGTGCATACTGCTGCCCACAACCTTCCCGCTTTACATGTTCTTTCCCATATCACTTTCGAACCCACTCTATGTATGTTACTACTCATTCGAGTTCCACCAGACGGACTGCTTGACATGCAATTTCCCCTGGCGTTCTCAGCGTATATTCACTTCATTTCCATTTCCCTCTGTATATTTTTTGAGCAATAGATTGTTGGGCGGTCTGCTATCTGTTAGAGTTCCTTATTGTTGTTGCTTCTGGCTGACAGTCTGATCTACAGTGTGGAGCGAAAACACCCTTTAGTGAAGGTTTGCAATCTATTGGAAATGCTTTTGTTGATGCACGCGTCAATTCTCTGAAATATACAGAAACACCAAGTAATTTCACATCAGTCTTAAAAATTCGTTGAAAAGAGAAGAAGAATACTTACATGGTTCAACTGTATCAACTGACTCTGTTTCCACTGATCTCTTCTTAATTTTCATTTGATGATTTAATCTTTTCTGTAAACATTCTATCTCATTGATTTCTACTTCACATGGCATCGTCTGTATACTATTTTCATATCCACCATAACATAAACTTGTATTGTGAACATTAGAGGTATCAGTAATAGATGAACTGAGCGAAGAAATACAAGTTCTATATCGACGTTGTACACCTCTTGGTTGTGAGCATACCTCTGTATGTGAACACTTACTCCATTCTGACCAACAACTCCAATAACCTGTTTAAAAATTATTCATAAAATTAAAAGTAGGTTATATTAACTAGAAATACACAACTAAAAATTTATTTAAGCGCTAAACATTGTTCATTTCATGAAGGCTAAATACAAATACTTGATCTGCAAACTGAATTATTTTAAATATGATACAATAAATAGTCAGATGTCTGAGAAAATTCTCTATGGTATAAAGTTCTATTACGTTACATACTACTGGTCAGCTGGTATGAGTAGTTGGATACCTCTCACATCAACCAATAGTACTTTCTAACGAGATCGAATTGATCTAGTCACTGGGCCGCCTTTTCCCTGGTTCGAGGCCGAGTACATCGGTGGTGTATTCTAGTTGACTCAGCTAAGACAGCTGAATCTCTACAAGCCATTTAAATTCTGGCGAACTACCTGAGCAAACTTTAATTGAATTTGAGATTTTCCCATCGATTGATTGGACCGAAGTGCTCGGTCTCAGGTTGACATGTCGGCTTCTTGTGCAGATGCCTCGACGATGTCTGGGCATTTTGATTAGTATTTAATTGGTGGATGGTGACTAGCAGTGGAATCCAGGATGCTCATTTCATCCTATTCGGGAATCGTCATCTGGATGTACCTGTATTTCTCTCTGTGAGTGATGATGTTCCCACTGAGGCTCAATCCCAGTACCCATAGTTTCAGACGCCAAAGCGTTATCCACTAGACCACTTGGGCCACGACAGCCACTTCACCTCTCGTGCCTAGACATCGTCGAAGAATCTGCACAAGAAGCCGACAAATGTCAACCTGAGACTGAGCACTTCGGTCCAATCAATCGACGGTAAATTCTTAAATTCAATTAAATTAATATGACCCTTTGCACAAGAGGTGAAGTGGCTCTCGTGACCCAAGTGGTCTAGTGGATAACGCTTTGGCGTCTGAAACTATGGGTACTGGGATTGAGCCTAGGTGGGAACATCATCACTCACAGAGAGAAATACAGGTACATCCAGATGACGATTCCCGAATAGGATGAAATGAGCATCCTGGATTCCACTGCTAGTCACCATCCACCAGTTAAATACCTCAGCAAAATGTTAATAAAATTTATGCATTTCAAATTTGATTCAATGCAGTTATATTCTATTCTTAATTTAAAAAAAAAATACCGACTCAATTGTATTCAGGTTTTTACTTAGTGCCGGATGTTTGTGGGACTATTTGGTCAAATCTTGATCAGAGATCAGATAAGCTTACTCACACTTGTTTTAATACTACAAGTCTTTCAACTGTTACTGTTGTACAGAGACTTTATATTATGCATAAGGAGTCAAAAGAGGTAGGATTTTACGAAATTATTAGCAAATGTATATGTAATTATAATCTAATACATCGCTCAAATTCCACCCTTACATTAACTGAAATCTTACCTGTACATGAATGAAGGTTACATAGTTCATCTTCTTTTTCATACTGATTATCAGTAGACAATTTTGTCTTACTTGATATAATTGTATCATCCTTAATATTATGTGAGGTTGGTTTTAATCGTTTACGATATCTACGACCTCCACCACATGGTTGTGAACATTCTGACCATGATGACCATTCATAATTGATATTTTCTAACCAAACTGGTTCATTTTGTTCAAAATTTTCAAAAGAGTTATCTATAGAATAACAAAAAAAGTGTATTAAATAATATTAGAAGAGATGTCGACAAAAAGAAGCCACACTTAAATTGATGTTATAACAATATTTTTGATGACACAGTGATAAAATGACATAAAAGATAACTCAATTTATCAGCCATTAAATGCAAGAGTAGATTCTAAGCTTTCAAGTTAAATCAACACTTTACATAAGTTAAATGCTATTCGGTTGCCCATCAGCCAGTGTGATGACATCCAGTGATTCATGGATTCTAACTTCAGTCCATGATCTAACTTAAAATTAATTAAATCGGTGTTCTGTAGTGGTTTGTTACTGGATGGAGTTCTGGTCCCCGTAAACAGACGGGCACATCCATGTACCAATCAAAATGATTTGCGCCACTTATAGCGAAATAGAAGGAGATAGGGCTCATTGTCCCTTAGATTTCACCCTGGCGGGTGAATGATCAGTAAGCTTGCCTTGTATTCTCAAGGTCCGGCGTTCGAACCTCAGAGGGGTCATGAGTACAAACTCATAGAAAGTCTCAAACTAAGAAGAAAAAGCTGGTCAATACTCCCTGGTTTTCTGAGAAAAAAAGTTATCCGTCAGACGTTTATCAACTGAAGATCCTTTAGTTGCACAAGCAGTATTATTCAAGTTGACTTTTATGCATTTACTGGAAGATGCTTCATTCCTATCTTTTCAATTAATGAGTAGTTTTCATTACTAAACTCATTTTAAAGGTGTAATACGAGGCAGTTTATCTGTTTTGAATTCACCCTGAGTGACATATTGATTGGTCACTGGAGAATAATCAACGTAAAATTTCTAGTTCTTGGTGTTAGTGCTGACTGAATTTCATCGCAATCAACTTGGTCAGAAAACCAAGTGACTTACCATCACATTGCACTTTGAACTTGTGATAATCTCTCCGACTGTAACAATAGTCGATACGGTTTCAAATCCCTAATGAGACATCAGTTCTTTTGAAATAGCTGACTAGTGTCCTTGAGCGTTAACTCTAGGTGTCCAAGGTTATATACAGACTGTCTCTAACCAACAAACACTAAGTCATTTTAGTCAATGGCGTCTAGATGTTATTTATTAGGAGACTTCCGGGTGGTTAGTGGGTGAGAATTTTACTTCTGCTTCAAATGGTTATGGCACAAATGAAAATTAGTGAAAAGTCCCTTATCATTTTATTAATCCTGAAGCCAAGGCTATAGAATAATGACTTTATTTTTGCATTTGTACTGAAGTAAATGTTTATCTGATTAAAAGAATGAGAAACTGAGTTAAAATGAACCAAAATAATTTTCTGTATTAAGTCAGTTTATTCTTTAAGCTGATAGAGAAGTTGAACACTATAAAAAAATATCAGTAAGTCAGTCAGTCTCTTACCAAGGTTTTCACAAGTAATTTCATGATTATTTCTATTTATTTTACAGATACGTGTTTCAACGTCTGTTTGTATTTGAAAGTTTTCTGATTCTGGTAGTTTGGCGGAACATTCTACACGATATTGTCTTTGTGTAGATTCCCCGCCAGCGTTCTCATCTGTTATAAACCATTCACTCCATGGGGATGTGGCTTTCCTAACTGATATTAAGAAAAATGAGGAAATACAAAGTAAATTTTGGTCGAATAAAACTTCGAAAAAAAAGACTGAGCTTGTGTATTAACAGCAAATTGTACTCACAAAAATATTTTGAAATAAACTTCCAATCAAATGGTATATCGAATTGTTTTCCATCCCAGTGTCAAATAATCATTCCATTGTGATTCCAAATGTCTTCCTAGTGTGTGATAGGCTGGAATGCATCTTGCAATTCCACTACTCAATATATGGCTGACTTAACAGAAAAGGAGAGATATGACTGTGAAGGGATAATTTTTAGGCTACATGGATAAATCTACAGCTCCTTATTTCAAAAGGATGATTTGGGGTCTGTTTTGTTGTTTGAGTTGGGTAGTTTAATTGCTAGGATAACATCTTCGGCGATTTCAATAGGGACCACGGAATGACATCAGTAAGAGAACCATTGAAAGCCAGAGAGTACTATATAACTGTTTCATTCTTGTTTAAGTCCCTTCAGTAGTACATACAGATATTCGCACAAGGTATCGAATCCAAGACCCTCAAGGTTCCTTGATGGTCCCGTTGATCATCTAGTTACTGGGATGGAATAGACAGAAGTTAGAATTCACTGACCGTTGGGTTCTCACAAAGTGTCTGGTTAGTTATCGGGTTCTCCTGGGGGTCCTCCGATGGATTCCTGATAAGCTCAAAGGTGTGTAATGCTAAGAAGCCTCAAAGAGATGAAACAGCTGTCTAGTAGTACGCTCTGGTTTTCACTGGTTCTCTAACTGATGTCAGTCAGTGATTTAGCTTGGAACTAATCTAATCCTTGCAAACCAACACTTGAAGATTGTTTGATAGATTGACAGCTAATTCTGCAATATAAATTTAGTAAATTAATGTTTATTTTTCGGATCTGTTATACTTGTGAATCGTAAGTGCATATTATTATAGGCATATTCAAACTAATAACTTGACTGCTTTTCAGTCTGAATGAATCAATATCAAGGTACTAGAGAGTGAGAGATTCTATTTTACATTAGGTATTTTGTGATCCATATTTATCAGAAAGCTATTATTATAATTATTATTATCCCCTTGGGTTCCGAGTAGAACATAGGGCTTCAACGGCACACCTCCACTTCGTTCAATTCTCTGCCGTCCTCTTCATCTGGATCCACGATTGGTCATTATCTCTCATCTCCTCCTCACACGCGATCTCCTCCACGTCACCTTAAGAGGGACCCACTCAACTCTTCCCCTTTGGGTTCCACTCGAGGGCCAGGCAATGCACTGCGCCTTAACCTCACCTAGCTTACTAGCTCACTAGTTTTCTAGCCAGTCCGAATCCAGAGTAAAGAGGGAAGGTTGGACCTGGGGCTAGTGACTCTACACCACAAAACCAATTAAACTGTTACAGAAACTTCAAAGCATAAGAAATATATTAAGAATACGAAATATTTAGAAAACCAGAAAACTAGTATAACACAAATATCTCACTAATAGTGTGGTGAGAACAGGCTGCTAGCCAATCGGTAGACAATAATTTACGTCAATGTATTATTATTATTATTATTATTGTATCCTTTAGTTCCTAGAGGAACATAGGGCTTCAGCTGCGCACCTCCATTGACTTCGGTTTTCTGACAACTTTTTCACCCTGCTCCAGGTCTGCCCACATGCTTTCGTCAATGTATATGTCGCAAATATTGGTCGTGAGAAAATATGAACAAGAGTGATTCAAAAACCAATCACAGCAGACCTTGCGTAGGCAGATACAGTTAACATATAGATGATCTGACATTCAAGAAACAGTCACAAAGAGATGCAAGGTCAACTTTCTGTGAGAAACAACCAATCAGAAGAGTGTGTTTGTTTGCTCGAATAAGCTATAGTAATGTAGATGAAAATATATAAATATGTGTTGATTTCCTTAATAAACGATCTGTTGCCTGGCCGTTGTCTTTTGTCGTTTCAATAGCATTAATAAAAATAGGTGTGCAAATTTTTGTGAAAAAGTGTCATTGGAACGTACTTGAGCAGGAATGAGTGTTGCATTCACTAGCTTCATATGCTGAACCAATACACAAATATTTATCCACATAAGTCGACTGATCTGATAGTAGTGTTTTCAACTGAGCCAATGTGAATTTTTCTGGCTTTTCATTTTTTAAACTGTCCGGGTGTTTACAAAACCGTCGACGAAATTTTTTACCACCATTACATAATGCTGTACATTCAGACCACATAGACCAAGAACTCCATTCGTAAATTGGTATTACTTCAACTGATCAATGAAATATTTTGAGAAAAAACAAACTGTTAATATAAATTTCGGAATATTTGATTTTACATAAAGTTAAAGTTAAGTATTTTATCAACTTCCTGTTAAAGTATTAAAAGTCACATTTATTACAACCTCAACCGCGAAGAGTCTTAAATCACCATTTACTGGCTGTAAAAGGATATATATATATATATATATATATATATATATATATATATGGGCTAAATATCTAGTCTACAATTTCTCTTAAGAATATGAAAATCTTCAATATATCCTGAAAAGAAATGTTTTGTAAAGTAATATTTATTTGTAAATCGTTTCTCAACTACCCAACTATATTATTTATACTTATTTCGGTGTTTCATCTAACTCTGCAATGATTATCCATTTTTCTTCTAGTCTGTATATCATTGTTCTGACACTTGCCTATCATATATTCACTTGATCCTTATTATTTGTCTTCTTTCCTCTTTATTCTCTAATTTTTATGCTTCTGTTTTTGATTTTACGTATGTTGATAATGTGTTGCCTTATCATGTGATTTTGTTTGAGTGAATGAAGGTGCTTATGACCTTGAACTAACTAAAGGAAGTCTTGTGTGATTCTCATGGATAGAACTTTTATCCTACCTTGTTGGAAATATACTACTTAATTCTAGGGTACTTATTACAGTCGAGTTTTAGTTAACTACTTTTAGTATGCAGTACTTGTTCTGTTCCTAGAATGTTCTCTTCACTGTATTGCTGCCTAACGGCATTTCTGAGGCAATCTTGAGTTCATGATGTTAATACTGTTGAGTAAAATTACTTGGATCTAACGACGAATAATCGTCTTTTTGACGTCTTTCAAACGTTTTGTGACCGTGTGTCTCTCAGGGGAAGTTTCGGACAGTTATAGCGTAGGACAGTTTCCTGTGTTCACACCACAACGATTCGGTTTCGGTCATTATATGCTTCAAGACGACTATCATTTTTCAACTGGCAAACGTTCAGCATGGCTGTGAACACAATTACGGTTAAAAATTCTAAACCTCTTTGAAAGTTGTAAACAATATACTACTGATTAAAATTCAGTAGATAAAAAGCAATAGTGAAATATTTCATGGAGACAGAAAGCCTTTCACAGTAATAAATATTTATATAATTGTAACAGCAGGACTTCTTAGAATAATTATATGTCCTTTGGAATTTAACAGATTCTTAATGTAACTAGATGAGAATTATCCACACCGTTCCGCTTGTTCTTTGCAAACCTCATCAGCGATGAACTTTGTTTGATTTAGTTGAGAAAGCCGAATAACTTTAATCCACTCGACTTGTAACTAACTAGCTAACTGGGATAACTGGTAAACAGATTTATACACTGAGAATTAGATTCAGTCGACCTGTGTTCTATTCTTGTTTACAAGTTCTGAATAAACTGTATTCACGCTTGTAAAAATTATATTTGTATGAGACTCAGTGGAGTCAAAATCTCCTAAAACGTCTCGGCACGTCTCTACCCAAAATTCCTTCGTTTTGCTGGGAATTTTAATAAAGTGGTGAAACCCTAGTGAACATAAATCATAAATTATTAGAAGGCTATTTGAAACATGCCTAAATTAATTGGGATTCTAGTTTCCAATTTGAATCGGAGAAATGAAACGAAGTATTTATTTGAGACAATATTAAACTGATTAAGAAATACCAAATGGAAGAACGCAGGGTGATCAGTTTAAGTGGGTCACTTCGTGTGTCCTAACGTTGCCATTTTTAATTTCATTCGGAAGAGCAAGAACATTAGGCGAGGGGCTAGCAGCCTTACCGCATATAATACACCCCCATCACTGCTGGAATTTCAAAGCCCGGAGGAAATAAACTTGCTTTTCTGTGGAATCAGGAAGACTACTCAGTTCTAGGACAGATTACGCTGGGGGATGGAAGCTTGTGGCAAGCCAGTAGTTGGATCTGTCATCTTCCTCTGAAAACAAAAGTAAGCATCAAAACATGTGATGTCTACACCATGTTTTAGGTTTTAAAGGCGGCTCCGATTATGGAACAAATGAGAAGATATGCAAGAGAAGTATTAAGAATCTGTGAGAGCTGATGGACTGGAGGTAGACTTGCCGAATTGTTAACTGGGAATTCAGTAATCTGTTTTGGCCACTCCGACAACAACTACGAACACACTTATGATTTGGCTGTCATAATGTCACCAACAACATAGAAGTATCTCATGTAGTGACTTGTGCCACTGAGGTCTTATTTTCCTTGAGAAACACAACGAATGAATCATTTCACTTACTTCAGAAGTCAAGATCAATAGAATACTATGGAAGTAGTTCATTTTTTTTACAAAAGAAGCAAGTACCCTGCACATAAAACTACTTTGTGTGCTTTAATTGGCCTTTGCTTTTCATATAAATTGAATTTACAAGAAAGTTTCTGATCTGACTGTTCAAAATGTATCGTGCAAGTAAATCAAATGTTTCAGATAATCTTCGCCTTCTAATAACACTGCCTAAAACTGCTTTGTTTATGAGCTCTTTTGAGCAAGATGAACTAAGTTTTCTGAAATACTGTCTTTTCTTGTACAGTACTCTTCCATCTCATTTTGTTATAATGATTCCTTCTTAGTGCAGTTTTAGAATACTACGATGTTCACTTGGAAATTAAGAACTATACATAGGTAAACAGATCCCTGGTGATCGAATCTAATCCCTAGTGATGAATTTTCCTTAATTAAAAATATTAGCCCTTCAGAAATTGTGTCTTTGATCCAAAATTCATCATAATTACTTACGTGGACACATAGGGACTTCATTTGAGCACTTTTGAGTTTCTTTATCTGTTCCAATACAAGTATATTCCTTTCCAACCGGACTTGGATTAGAACACCAACGATATCTTGTTCGCGTTGGTGTTACATTTGTATTAAAAGTTCGCGAATAACAAACAGGTTCACACGCAGACCATGCAGACCACTCGGTCCAACCACCATCATAAGAACAACCAGTAATTTCCACTGATGATCCATTTGAGCATAAGCTTTCATGAAGTCCAGAAGAAAAGGGTGAATTACAAGATCGAAAACGACACTTGCATCCGCTTGGCTTAATTTGACTATCTGAATGTTGTATTAGGTACTTGTTATTAGTAGATTTACTTGAAGATAGTTTACAATCACTCCATTCACTCCAGCTTCCCCATTCGCTAGTAATCTTAAAATCTGAGTTTATTTCATTTTGAATACAAACGTCAGAATCGTATGTTATAATGCTATTGTGTATTCTTTCTGTGGCGGTTAAATCCTCACATTTTTGCACTGCTTCATTCCATCCACAGAATGGATCTCTTAAAAGTTTACATGCCATTCTACCATGACCGAATCTTGAACATCGTGCTATCGGCAGACGTAAAAGTCGGTCTTTCATTGCTATTAACAGATATGAGGCCTTAAATGTCTAGGGGTTTGAAAAAAAGGCAGAACAAAACAATAAAATAAGAGAGCGAAATTCATGTGGAAACATTAGGAAATACTGAGTGATAGTGAAAATAATTTGATCCAAATTCTTCAGTGTTTTCTTGAAAACTTTTAATTATTTCAGGTACTACCTGTGAGTTTTAAAATATATTTTCAGGAGAAAAATTAAATGTAACATTAAAGTACTGACTTTGATAACTTCAGTAATTCTTATACAAGACAAGTTAGCTTCAGTGTACTACAGGTCATGTATGAATGTAGTTGGTCGACAAAGCATTAAAACATCGACTTATTCATTTCGTTTTATATCGACTAAAACAGATATCAATTTTGTTGATAACATTTGAAATCCTGAGATGGCCTAATGCAGTGTGTCAAATATCAGACAAAGAAGCAGTTGGCCATTATTTGATCTAGAAGGTTATTTATGATCTTATCAGTAACAAGATGTTTCCTATTTACTGGCGAAATTTAGCACAGATTTGATTGACTTCCAGTTAGCTCAAGAAGTGACATCAGTAGTACCTGAGAAGTCATTCGTATTAATTTATGACTTTTGATGTAATTGTGTTCTCTGAAAAGGATAGATTACTTGCGAAGCTTTCATTGCCTTATGAGGAAATATCTTCAGCCCATACTTCAATGTGAAGTGAGCTTTGAAATTTCTCCACGAGTTTATCAGTCATCTCTCTCGGTGACCTTGAACGTGAATGGTTGATCATGTCTGTTTTCACACCCTCTAGTCTATTTGTATTGGTATTGATTGTCTTCTTGACCTGAAGTTTGACCCTTTGTGTGTGAGATTTTCCACTTATGCATTAGTAAATTTTATCTGTGTCAATATGGTTGTTAATTGACGATTCACTGGAATACTCGACTCCTGAAAATTCTCTGATAATCTCGGCACTTCCTCTGCTTAATAATAATAATAATTGTAATAATAATAACAACTGTAATAATAGGCAAACAGAAAGAAACCAAGAGGGTTAAGAGGAGGAAGCATTATTGGTAAAAAGAAGAATCATCAATCCAAGTTTGCTTATTATTACAATTATTATTATTCGTCATAATTTATGTCCCTCTGCTTAATATTTGAACGTTTTCACAGTCGAATCGGTATCCATCAATCAACTATCCAACGGAATGGAAAGTGGCCTAACAATATGGAAGACAAATAGTCAAATTAATGATTACAGATGCACACTATCGGATCAGAATATACAAACAAATAATGGACATATAGAAGGAAAAACTAGAGAAAACCCTCAGCCAGAAAAACAACACATTTAACTCAACTCTGAAGAACTGAAGGCCAGAGAAAGTTGAAGAGCTACTCAAAGAGGAAGAGGTATGCCAATAGCTTACAGCAAATCCCATCCAGAAATTAGACAATCTCACCCAAAGAACCCTTAACAAGCTCACCAAAATAGGTCATATCACAAAAGAAGATCAGTGGCTAATGAAATCCAATGGGTCAATTTTACCTCGATTCTATGGCAGACCCGAAATATACAAATTAAACATACACTTACGACCAGATGTATCACTCCCAGGGACCAAAATATCCAATTTATCCACAAAACTGTACAGAAAATTGAAACAATTAACGGAATCCTACGACCACTCCGTCAGATCGGCATCCCAGTTTCGAGAGAAAATCAAAGGCATTCATATAGATGACCAAGAAATAATAGAATCCTTCAATTTCACAGTATTCTATATTTCAGTTGTGCACAAACTAGCACAAACTGTGCACAAACCATGGAAACTACAGGAAACTTGGAAATTCAATTGTACAGAAAATCATCCCACACAAATCAAATTCTGAAATTTTCGATTACAGCTTGATCCCTCACCGTACTTTTGGTACAAGTATAGAATTTTCAGCATGGATATCGGTAGCCCGAATTTTGCAGGCCGACCATAGATATCTGGTGTGCGTCGGCAGGGGATCGAACCTCGGACCACGTGCATGGTCGGCGAGAGTCCTAACAACTATGCCACCGACTGAAATGCAACAGAAAAACCCGAAAGCACACAAAAAGGGTGGCATACAAACATTACTGAAGAGAGCCAGGACTCATTGCAGCACTCTCACCTTAAGGAAAATTGAAGAAAAATATCTCATGGTCGTCTTCCGAAAGAATGGATATCCACAAAATTCCGTTAAAGAAATCTACCCCCAAGCCAACCAACCAAATCAAAGGCCTTCAGGGAAAGCACAAAGAAAATCATTTTATCATTCATAAAGGACGTCTCAGAAATCACTGCAAGACTCTTCAAAACTTTAGGAATTACTATCGCACACAAACCAACAAAGCCAGCTCTGTGTCATCCAAAAGACACAACAGAGAAAGAAGATAAACCAACATCGTCAACAAAATAAATTTCAGCCACTTCGAAAAACATCACACTGGCCAAAGTGAACGCCTTCTTCGTCTTCGTATCCATGAACATAAACTGGCAGTCAAAAGACATGACATCACTCCCGCATATTGCTGCATATAGACAACCACGAATCGACTGGAACAGCGTTCAAATGTTGGGCTGAGGAAACACCAAGAAGGCCATAGAACTTTTAGAAGCCTGATATTCCAGTGAATCGTCAATTAACAACCATATTGACACAGATAAAATTTACTAATGCATAAGTGGAAAATCTCACACACAAAGGGTCAAACTTCAGGTCAAGAAGACAATCAATACCAATACAAATAGACTAGAGGGTGTGAAAACAGACATGATCAACCATTCACGTTCAAGGTCACCGAGAGAGATGACTGATAAACTCGTGGAGAAATTTCAAAGCTCACTTCACATTGAAGTATGGGCTGAAGATATTTCCTCATAAGGCAATGAAAGCTTCGCAAGTAAACTATCCAGTTCAAAGGACGCAAATACACCAAAAAGCAGCACTTAGTCAGACTAGAAAAGTGCAGTTCATCAGAAGTGTATGAAAGCTAAATGGAAACCTTCCAGCTAACCGCCACTTACAACACAAAATTAAATGAAATGACTCTCCTATGAGAGATTGGCCATCTTGAATTTATTTGTTTCAATTTAGGAATAAAACACAAGTGACCTGCAATTTGTGAAGTAGTACATCTGTGAGTCGGTGGTAGAATGTTCGCCAGTCAAGGAAGTGGGCGGGTTTTAATTCCCGGATGGGACACTCCCAGACCTCACCGAGTCAGCAGTAATCGCTTAAAAACCGGAAAGGTAGTGCTGACGACTTCTCCCTTTAAAATAACGTCAATGGTACTGGAACTTCAAAGCTAATGCTTGAAACCCGATGCCCCACACAGAACGCAGAGGAATGAAAGCAGTACATTTTTACTGAACTAAAAAAGACTAAAATATGTCTAACTCAACAATAACATGATAACTAATATACATTTGTTTTTCACCTTTTTATTTTGATTACTAGGAATAATTTCCATTTGAACAATGTTATTCGATAAATCTGTTGAAAATCTTGGAGTCAAGTAGATTAATTCTACAAGACAAGGTTGAAATTCTTTAACATGCCATTTATACAGCATCCCTTTTGAACTGGTCACAAATATCACCATATTCATATCACTTCTAAGTGAACCTGGAGTTCTACTCACTACAATTTGTGTATATCTGAAAAGAGAAAAGTATACATAATATATGTTGAAGAAAGCCTGTAGATTTGAGGTTAATTATAAGCATACCTAGGTTGGTGGAATCACATCAACTTCGTCGGTTGACTTGATACACATAAAAACCGTCCGTTAAATTGTAAGTTTTAACTCGAAGATGAGAAAAGTATCACGAAATCTCTTTGTCTATCCAGCTAGAACCGACTCATTTAACTATTTTAGTTTTCATTGTTTACTATTTCTCTGTATAGTAATATGCAGGGGATTTCAAGGGGATTTAATACACTGATTTACAGTACTGTTCATTGTAAAGCGATAGTATGAGGATGAAAATCACTAACACCTGTCTAGTGTTCATTTAGTCCTGAAAGCATAACATAATCTGACCTTCTGCATTCTTCCTCTTATCAAAAGTTCAGATTAATTCCCAGATATGAAATCTGTCAGTTACTTAGTCGAAAATCCATTTTAGACTGAAATTAAACTTGAGTTTTATTGATATATGTCCCAGGAGTTCATTAGCCAGATAGACAATAGCCAGATTTACAAAACTGCTAGGAGAGCCAACAGGTGTCAGGTCTAAGCTTACTGAATATCTCCTTATTTCTGACCAAGTTATACGGTAATATGATAATTAATAATAATAATAAATAAATAAACATAATGGAGACGAAATATAACCAGATTGATAAAACATGTTGCTTTAAAATCAGTCAGTTCCTTTCATTCGGAATGGAACATAAGGCTTCAGTAGTACATTACCATTTCAGAAGGCTCTCTTCTGTGACTTTTAAATTTCGCCAAAACAGTGAAAAAGCCTTCATCTTTTCTTCAGATGATTTCTTCCATGTCATTCTCGAACGTCCAACACGTCGCTTCTTATCCATACGTCTCAGTTTCTCAAAATAAAGTGCAAATATAAGTGACAGTTATTACACACACCTTCTCTTAATAACTTATTTACCTTAATTTACACCATTAGTTATTTTAGTTGTAAATATTGTGTGTTTACCGAAGTTATAATCAGCCTCCAACTTTCTGCAGATACAGAGTATGGGTATGTCCAAGTTAAGAGATTATTGTTTGAAACATTGGGAATCTCTTTATGCATTAGTAGTAAATAGGAACTGAATGAGTAATATCTTTATTTTTCAAGAGTAAGTTTGTAGGAATTTGATTTGTTCCAAGTGTGAACACCGACTAACTAAGTAAGTCTTGGAAATTAATCGAATGCTTGCTAGTGAATGGCTTCAGGACAAAGTTTTCTGTGGTTCTAGTGAAAAGCCGTAGTTTATCGGATCCATCAGGTCGGGTGTGAAGATGCTGGCTAGTGATCACGCTAAAATCATGAATTGGTAGAAATTGAAAATCATGGGCCTCTGTATGGGGTCCCAGTGTCTGAATGTTATACGAGATCGCCTTGTAAACGGAAGGTTCTGGATTTGAATCCCGGTGGGTATTACTGAAGTGTCCCAAACTTGGACGAAACAGATCTCCAGTACTCGATGGTTTTCCAACGGCTCTGTAAATGACGCCAGCTAATGATCGAACTTGAGACAGTATTCTTAATTTGGCTTCTTTTCTTTTTCCTTGCTGACTTAGTGATACTATTACCAGCACTGTATCCTTTATTTTACTACATTATCACTGCAGATATCCCATACCATTTTGTAATATTTCATATATCTCGTACTTTTTTATTTTGAAGGCACAATAAAAACGATCTATTTACATTTCTCTAAACACCATCGCCTCATTATATGTTTAATTAGGCAAACTTGATTTCAGTTTTTTAGGATTTCATTCTTGAATACTTTGTAGTCTTCATACTGAAGAGTATTTCTTTTTTTGCAAACTGTAAACACCGCTTACTACTAGCTATAGTGTAATAAACTGAGGATCGTGAAAATGAATGAAAACGACACTTAGCAGACAAGAAAGTTATCTGAGAATGAGTCATATATCAGTTTCGTCGTCTCATCATATACATACACAAATACGGTTTATTGTATTGTTCTGTAAGCCACTGGCTGATATAAGTAGTCTGAGGTCAATCAAGTTAACCAGATTATGAAGTGACCTGTTCCTATACTTTGCGTTCAGGTTATTAAGAGCATTCCGCAACAGACGTGACTCAGACAGCTGAATCAAGTGAGGCCACTAGAATTTCGGTCATTATATTATTATTACTGTTCCCTTGGGTTCCGAGTGGAATATGGAGTCTTCAAGGAAACATCTCGAATTTGTTGTATTTTCTGCCATCCTCTTCAGTTGGATCCACCATTGCCCAAACTCCCTCATCTCTTCCTCACACAATCACCTCCATGTCACACTCACACCCAAGACCCACTTGTCGCTTCCCATTTGGATTCCACTCGAGCAATGGCCTGCATTGCTTGCGATGTCATTCATCGGTTTCCTCAATGTATGTTCAGTCCATATCTATTTTCCCCTACACATTTGTTGGGCGATCGGCTCTTGGTTGCTTTGTTCTCAGCCAGAGTTTCTTGTTGCTTATTCTTTCTGGTCAGCCGGCCATTCAATCTTCAGTATGAAGCGGAAACAGCTGTTGATGAAAGTCAGCAGTGGCCTGTTGGAAATCCTATTCGCGACATGGAGTGCAAGTTTCTGACCCATATAGAACTAACTGACTGAGTTAACATTGGCCCTGAACAGAATCCGAATCTTGTCATTTGTGCTGTCTGAGTTAATGCAGAAGATTTCTTAACTGTTTTCACGTTGATGGAGGCGTACCTTGCATTTCCGATCCTGTCTGGCTGTGACATCTTCATCCGTTCCTCCAGTATTGAAGGAAATGACCTCTGCTAAATCTCTCCCGTTGATGGTGATTGGTGTTGGCTTTCGTTATTACTGTTGGTTAGTTATCTTCATCACCTCCATCTTTTCTATGTTCACCTGCAGTTTTGTCTTCTCTACCAGCCTTTTTAACCACTTTGTTGGTTTTCGCCTGTAAGTCTCCGAGTTTGTGTGACAAAAGTCTTCTTATCAGTGGTCTGGCGTATTCCTGTCTTCTCACTTCCTGTGCACAGTCTGACGCGTAATCCAGTCTATTACAATTAAGAGGATCATCGGTTATAATTGATAACCTTGTCTTACTGCTTTATGCACTTCAAATATCTCGCAGAGTTTTTTGTCGTGCATCACCTGACATGTGTCACTGTCATATAGCCAGCTGCTGACTGAGATTGATAAAGACTTAAGCACTACACGCTGTAGTGTAGAAATAGTTTCCAAATTACTTCTTGACCAACGCTGCCTGTCGAAGGCCTTTTCGAAGTCGATGAAGTTAAGGTAGAAGTTTGACTGCCATTCTATACTTTGTTTGCCTACGATGATGATCATTACATTTGCAATTTGATTAGCTACTTGGATAAACTGATGGGAAGGCATGGGATCAAATTCGTCATTTGCAAATTATTATCACGTTATTTTGTTAGTTTTCTTGATTGCACTTTATAATATCAGGGTGACCACATAATGTGACCTAAAATTGTTGGATTTCAGAAGCGAATAGTCATCTTAAACTGTGTAATTTGAAAATGACAGATTTTAGTCAGTGTAAAGTTTAGAACGAAGAGATTTTCCTTCCTTTGCCTTCTGAGTGGATTGTAGAGTCTCAAACTCTAAAGTTTCATCAGCGGTCGAGTTCTTTCCATGAATGGGGTCGCTAACCTCACACCTAACCTTCTATCTTTACCGGATTTATGGCTGGCTAGTAAATAAGGACATGCTTGGTAGTTTGTAGGGAGGGAATTGAAATTAGACCTTCTGATTTACTAGAGGCAATTCCAACATTGGACTGCTGACATCCACAGCCTCAAAAATAAGGCGTAAAACATTGACAAAATAACTAACATGAAATTAAGAGTGAATAAACAAAACTGATTTGATAGGAGATTGAAGTGAGTAAATAGTGAAGCAGTTTGTTCATCAAATACGTTTCCCATCTAAGGTTGAGTTCATCAGTGATGTAATAGAATAAGGTCAGCTTGACCCTTTAAGACGACTGGTTGACATATGCGACTGCTAACTACTCATATCAGCCACTGGTATATACCACAATGCAGTTAAGCTTGTTTTATCGATTGACACTTGTGGTAACACACATCTTGATGTGAATAATTTTGATTCCCAAAGGAGCTGATTATAAATTCTCATTTTGAAATACTTAGCTGGCAAATGACAAATCTGATTTTAGTGCGATAATGCATTGCATAGGTAAATGATAACTCTAATTTATTGTGTATTTGGATTTCAACGAAACTTCAGAATAATATCAATGTTTCGTTTGTTGTTTGCTGTTCAGCTTGGAAATCTGCTGAACTCAAAATAAAGAACAAAATTCAACACCAATGTTAAGTCAGTTACTTCTTCTACAGGAGATAGAAACTTGGCTAGGGAGTCGTGAGAAGCATTTCCGAAAGCTTGCTAAGATTTTTATCAACAGTTGTCTTCGCTGCATGTTGAGGATCAGATGGCTAGAAAGAATTAGCAATGAGGAACGCTAAGAACAAACCAACCAATAACCAGTTGCTCAAAAATATGCAGTAAGAAGTAAAAATGGATCGGACATATGCTGAGGAGACCACTGAATGACATCATCCTCCAGGTACACTCTTGAGTGACACTGGAACATGAAGTGAAGAATTGGATATCTGAGGATACATATAGGAGATCATGTGAGGAGAGGATGAGACACTATGAGCAATTGTGAAGACAGCTAAAGAGAACTACATAGAGCAGGATGAAATGGAGACGTACTGTTGAAGTTTTATGTTCCACTTGGAAACAAAGGGAATAATAACACTTATATTTACAACATCGGTGTGATTATCGTACCTATCACTTATTGTCAATTATTATCGAAGACATCGACAGCAATACTGTTATTCATAATTGTTTTTTTAATTTATGGTTATTCATTTAATGAAAGTAAACTTCAAATACCAAAATTTGTTATGAATTCTTTTTCATAATAGCAGTAGATGAATACATGGAAAGTTCAAGGCTCAATATGTTTAGTAAAAAAGAGAGAGATCTTTATTTTAACGTGTCTCATTTTTATTTCTTCTGTTTCAAATCATTACCATATTTTCACTGAATTATTGAAAAATACAAAGAAAGTGGTAAAAAGGTTCATCAGCCACTCGGATGGACCAGGTTAGTTTCCAAAACGACTCCTTACCAAACCCCATCTAGCCAGCAGAAATACCAGGAAGGAGGTAAGCTTTGGGAATGAGATTAGGAGCACCACCCTGTAGAAGCACTATCGTTACTGAACCTTGAAAGATTGAAGTCTGTTTCCACCAATATTGCAAGAGAGTGCAAAAAAGCTGAGTCATGATAGATTCCTAGTTAGAAGTATTTTAAAGGTGAGTAGTGAACTCCAAATGCATGGCTATTTTAACAAGTCACAAGAAAATCTTTTGCACAAATATTTGTCTAGTATTTTTAATTCACAGCGGTGATGTTATTTATTTCATTTTCAACAGTCGTTAGTGTAAGAATCGGTTGGTAAACTCAGTTAGGCCGAAACACAGTGATGAGACATGCACATCTGTGTATTGCTTTCTTACCTACTAACCTGGCAATATCATGGTGTGATTTTATTATTAAAAATCTTTAGCGTAACTCTAAATACATTTTCGTTCATTATTTTATGAATAACAAGGAACACATTCTGAATTTTCAACACTAATTTCAAGTTTTCTCATAAGGTCCATAAATTTGACACATGTTTCAACAACAGCGTTTCAACAGCAGACTTTCATTTAAGAGCTAGCTATTTTTGCTTAAAAGTTAGGATCAAATAACTGTCCAGAAAGAATTAGCAAGGAGGGGCTCTGTCAGCAAATAAACTATGAGCTTGTTGCACAATACTTATACAGAAGGAAATGGAAGTGACCTAGGCGTATTATTAGACATTCAACTGACATCACATGCTTGATAAGTTATCGAATTGGACCTGCATGAGGAGTGTGCGATAATAACTTAGCGATCATGTGAATTGGAAATGAAACCATTTAGGAAGTTGTGGACGCGGCGACAAGTGATAGCAGAGGACTGAATGTAATGGAAATGTTCAGCTTAAACCATATGTTTCACCGGAAACTCAAAGAATGATTAATACTAATAACAGTTCATTAATCAATATAATATATTTATGCTTTATATGTTAATAAGATTTCTATCTTGAATTTTAAATACATTCATGTACTAAAACTCATGTAGTCAACTTAAATTAATTTTACAGCGTAAAATACATTTCATAAATGTCAGATGGTTGTGGGAAACCGACAGGAAACCCTCGACCTAGGTGTCATGCCTGCTGTCACTTTTCAGCAAGGTCTATCTGAAACATCAAAGGAAATAATATTTCCTAAGAGGTTCAGACACACGTCATCTAGTGTCACAGCCACAGGCGTTACTAAGGAGTTGATCGAGCTACTAGTGACAACCTAAAAATTGCTACACCCTACTGTCTTTCGTAAGTGTTTTATATTTATTTGAGATGATGTATATATATATATATATATCCGAAGCATTTTAAATCTCTTGATTATGTTGTTTGAATCTTGCTAACCTTGAAAAATGGTCTACTCAAACAAAGAAAGAGCAAAATCGACTTATAGTTCCATGGTAGCTGATGTTCTCCGAAAAATAAGTCTTATTGAACCAATTTTAATGATTAATTCGTAGAAAGGTTCAGAAACTAATGAGTTAACTAAATTTAGGTTTTCTTAACTCAATCAATTGACATGCATTCCTCTTTTTTTATAAAATAAGATAAATAAATAGATACTTGTAACAACCAGAATGCTTTACTTTGTATGAACAAAGGAAAAAAGAGAACAGAACTCTAGAAACATTCAACTTAGACAAGAATACAAAATATGAAATATATGATGCATGATGAACACATGAAAACAAATATTTATTTTTACAAATGAAATTCTTTAATCTTATTTTTTCTATTAAATCAAACTCACCAACTTCTTTTTAGAAGCACATTCATCATGAATGAACTTTACTTGGTGTTTTGAAAAATAAGCTATATAATTAAAAAGTGTTTCAAGATATTTGAGTCAGTTGATAGACTATCGAGGGTTCCAGACAGACTGGTTGATTGCTGTATTCTCAACTGAAATACTTTATCTTAATGAACCTTGTGACAAACACGAAACCTGCCTGTCACCAAAGATGAATGTAGTATGTTCAGTATTACAGTGTGAAATATCCACTTCAGGATTTCTGAATCGTAATATTTTTTTTCATTTATTACTTACAAAGATCGTTTAAAAAGCATGATTTAACATAACTAACAGTTTGTGAGGTTGCAATTTTATGCTGTGCTTTTTTGATGTACAAAAAACCACGTGAGTAAACAATATTCCTTTCAGTGATGTCTTCCTCAAACTTTACTCCAATATTAATTGTTTTAAATATATATGACTTATGAATTATTGAGTAGTGTTAAATGTAATGAATTATAATAATAATAATAATAGTAATAATAATAACAATGGCGTCAATGTCAATGTATCAAGAGTTTCTTTCAACGCCTTCCTTCGTTCAATACTAAAGATGGAATGGCTGGCGAAAAGAAAGTACGTGACACGGAACTCTAGCAGCAAATAAGTCAAGAACCTATTGCCACACAAATGGGCAGGACGAAGTGAAGACGGATTTTATGTACTCTGTGGAGACATTTAAGTGATATCACTTGCTAGGCAGGACCTCTAATCGTACCTGAATGGTGGGCGAGGAGTAACATTCAGGAGACCATGTGAATATGAATTGAAAGCCTGTGGGCAGCTGCGAAGCTCAATGGAACTGACAGTGTGGTGAGGGCTGTCTGCAAGCCGAAATTGTAGATAACAATATACGTCAATGTTTACGTCCCGAATTAGGGTCATGAGAAAAAACAAGGACAAAGCCTGACCTTGATGAAATCACTAACCAATCACAGCAGACTCAACGTGGGCGGATACGATTAGCAGATATATGACCAAATTGTCTAAGAAACGGCAACAAAGAGATGACAGAATTACCTTCAGTAGGAAAACAACCAATCAGAAGACATTGTTTCTCTGCTAACAACAACGAGTAATAATGTACATAAAAATCTAAAAATATCTGGTTTTCTCAATAAACCGTTTGTTGCCTGCCCTTGTCTTCTGTTGTTACAATAGCAGAGTGCCGAGTTCCACTTAGAATACCAGTAATGATTAATAAGGATAAAAATTTGTTTAATTCTCAAATAAGGGAGGAAAAAGGCTTTTTAATGCTTACATGTCACCTTGTTGTACTAAAATTGGTCTGTCATATCTTGGTCTGACAGTTTTAAACATAAGATTGAAATCATTCTTTGGAAAGGAATTTGGTGTATATTTTTCACACTAGAAATAAGTGAAGAAAAAGGCAGTATGCTCATTAAGATTAGCTGACTTTTTTAGTGAAGAACATAACAAATATCTTGTAATAAGTTTGATAACTCACCATTGTCACAGTATCTATATTTCAAATACTCAATATTTTAGAGTTTCAAGTAGATTTCGACAAAGAAAAAGCAGTAACATCTTTGTCAGGCATCTGTAGATAGTTCTAGGGAACTTAACTCTATTCCACTAGTCTTGTGAAAATCGGGGTAAATGTTCCAAATTAATTCACCTCACACCATAAAGAGATAAAAGGTACCTATTTTAGTCAGAAAACAAACTCAAAAGAAAGATTCAACACAAAACTCATCCATTCTAATTTCATATAAGCCCATCTCATGAGAGTTGAATAGAAAATTTATCTCAGGAAGCTACTCATATAGAAGGGTAATTTTATCGCTATATACTTACGTAACTGCCGACAAAACATAGCTGATAATAATGAAACGAAGACGAATAACAACGACAGTATTAGTAAAGAGAGATTTGAATATTCTTTATGCTGCTATTTCAGGAAGGAACCTTTGAAACTCCATGAAGAATTCTTATTAGACCGGAGATTACTGTGGCGTTTTAACTTGAAAATTCAATTAAAATTAAACTTTGGTCCATAGAACATGGTGAACTAAATGGCGCAGTATAATCAGCTGCATGTAAATGCTATGAGTTGAGACAGAAGGTTGAAGAAGCTAAGCTATGACAGCAATGGAATTGATTTCATGCTTAATTAATAACTGAAGCCTTTGCCTTTCAAATTAATACAAAGAACACCTTACAACCTATTCACTAGGTCTAACAGCATTACACCTAGGACGAAGTAAGATGAAAAAATTTGCCGTGCAAACCAAATACTAAAGTTGTGGATTTAACTTTGATATAAATGAGTGACAAATTACATTTTAGATATTATTTAGTTAATAATACTTCATTAATGAAGTAATTGTGCGTCGGTAGCTCAGGGGTCAAATGTTCACCAGTCAATCTAGAGATCTAGATTCGACTCCGGATTGATGAATTACTGAAGCACATATAATCGGTAGTATGACTGGAAAAGAAGGATAGTTGGGTGTGAGGTTAGGGACCTCATCTCTACTGAAAATGTCAAGGCTTGAAACCCTATGCACTACTGGAAAGGTAAGAAGTGAAATAAGGAAAAAAAGAGAAACTACTACGGAATATGTCACCAAACCGTGCAGTCTAATTTATGTACAAATATTTTCAGTTGAAGAAGATGAAAACACTAGAAACAAACTCGTCGTTGAACTGTTTATTTTTCTCTTCAGTAATACTTGGATGAAAATTACTCAGGAGCTTTAGTCTATTTGAAATTATAGGGGGAATTAGTGGTTCACGATGAAGATGGAAATTATTTTGGAGTTCTCCAAGGTTTAATGTTTAAATATGAGGGGTTTCCCATTAGGCTTTGTAACATCTTGACCCCTAACTTCATTAATTTAAGTGCTGTTGACTGAATAACACTTGAAATGTAGTTTATCACTCAAATAACTAGTTGGGCATCCGAGATTGACATGGAGAAGATTTTGGCAATAGGAAATGGAATCTTGTGAGTGATCATCCGCCAACCAAGAAAGACTCCAGAGTACAGGGTGAAATGAAGATGTCCTGTTGAAATACTATGATCCACTCGAAAGCCAACAGAAGAATAAGTCATGTTTCATTTCATTTACAACCATCAATAACTTTATTTGGCTTTACATAAGTTAAATATTTTTGAAGCAACTGACTTCTCATTACCTTGTTGTCATTTCTGACTGTTGTAGCAACTCCATCAGTCTTATAAAATTCACTATTAAACACAGATTCAATATCTACCAGATTGTATTCACAAACAGCAGATGCAGTTGGCATTGATCTATGAATAAAAAACGGATAATACAAATAAGGGTTAAAGCGACAAATATACATGTAGAAGAAGTACATTACACAACAAGACATTTCTTAAAGAACTGTAGGATGAAGAAACCAATACGTAGACTGATCACCGGGAAGTGACCAACATTATATGTCTAGTCCTTAGTTAACATTAGGATTGAATTCTGTCCCTTTTTTTCAATGTGGTCGCCGATTTGAGAGAATCTCTACAGCAGAGCGAGTTTTTAACTAAGGTCAGACGACTGGAGGCAATTGTCAGAAAGTTTTGGATCTAAGTCTCTTGTTTACTGGCACTCATCAGCAATTCTAACGTCAAATAAATTACCACTTAGCTATTATGGCCTACAAGTGACCCGTGTAAGAATGAAACGGTTAAATTAATTAGTCACTGGAGAGAAACCAGTTTTGTGTGATGCAGGCTGAAAGTCGAAGACATTAGTTCCATCAAGATTTCAGATACACCTTCGTGGTAATCTCCAATAAACAAGGAAACTGGGCTAGCGGCTTCTTTTTGTCTACTTTCAAATATCTTACATCAATTCCTGATGAAGAAAATGAAAAAATAGGTGTAAATTTAATTTTATTTAGTTTGGTCACGGATTGATCTCAGTTAGAGAACCACTGAAAACTAGGGAGTACAGGACAGCTGTTTCACCTTAAATTGGGACTCATTGGAGGTGCCCACTCACTGGGTTTCTAACCCAAGACCTTCTGGTTACAAGGCAGGCTCGTCGACCTTTCAGCTCCTTGACCAGACTCAATGGCCAATGAATTCAAACTTCTACCAATTCGTGATTTTAGAGCGACCGCCAACCAATGTCATCGGTGGGAACTCCAAACTTGGACGAGACATCTCTCCAGTACTCCCTGGTTTTCAATAGTTCTCTATCTGATATCACTCAGTAGTCAAACTAGAATAACAAATCAAATCTATACAAGGCGACTCTTCAAAATGAATTCAATTATCGATTTAATAATATTTTAAAAAACCCTACAATTAAAAGCATACATTCTGTAAGAAATTAACATTACGTCTAAAAAGTTACTTATCAGTTGAACATATTATGACTGAATTTATGTGGACAAATAAGGTGTTTCTGTTTATTTTTGTACTTATGAATCAAAGTAAAACCGATATACTTATCAGACAACTCGTCAAATCAGAAGTTAATAGCAAATTTCTTCTGCCTAAACTGCGCATAACAGTCTTTTAAACATTGACATCGTCGTCACGATGTGGGGTCAGATTTCACTAATTATGAAAAATGACTCATTTGCTAAATTATGTAAACTGCTGTCACACTTAGTTCACATAGGATATCACATAAAGGCTAAGACGGCCTTTAGAGTGTAATGCAGAACACTTTGGAGACGGGCAGCTAGCCTACTTCTTCCAAATATAGATGACGCTGTTGCGATAAGATGGAATAAGTCCAGTCTCTGTGCTTAGAAAGAATAGTATTTACAATGACCATGAGTTAATTTGGAAACTGCTCCAACCCTGTGAAGTATCACAAAAATTAATAAACCTCAATTTAGATGCTCACTAGCGACTGGCCCTATTCAGGTAGGTAGTTACCTGGGGTTCTGGTGAGAAGTCGTGACCAGTAGGGTGCAGCAGGTCGGGTGTGAGGACAAATACTCGCCGAAGACATTAGCTAGCGGTTGTGCTATATTGTAAATTGGCAGAATTTAGAATTCATGGGCCACTGGATTGGGTCCCAGTGGCTTAATGGTATACAAGCTCGCCTTGTAACCAGAAGGTCCTGGATTCGAACCCTGGTGGTGGGTTCGTACTGATGAAGGGTCCCAAACTAGGACGAAACAGCTGTCCAGTACTCCCAGGTTTTCCAATGGTTCTCTAACTACTGTCAGCTCATGATGAAATCCTGTAAACCTCATTCTATAGCTATAGAATAATGCCTAGTGCCTAGCGATTCACAATAGAAAGCCATTGAATTGAATACAAGAATATGACAAAACTGCACATTATCAACGATGCTCTTAATTGTTATAAATTGCGAAATATACACATTGGATCATAGGAATTATTAAAAAGACGGTTGTAGCGAAGAAAGTTTTCTTTTCGACGAAGTCATGAACTAGGCTGTACATTTGTGTATTTATATTAAATCTGTGAGAAAGTTCCAGAATTATTTCCGGTCAGAGGTCAGATTAATAAAATTACTAAGTGTAATAAACAGAAGAAAGATAGTGGCACTATTCTAGAAGTATTTAAGGCCAGTGGTCAAATTAAAAATTACATTGTGTAAAAATCAGGAAGATCGGGTAGAAAAAACAAGATAGGATTATACTTTCTAGAAAACTCATCAGTTTGTATAAATACGAGTTAAGGATATAGTATTAACGAAATGGACAGGAGGTTCGGACGTATAAATTCGATAATGCAATGGATCATGAGGAGAAAGAAGTTGGGCACACGTTGAACTGATAGAGAAACTCTAGGAGACTCGAATTCTTCAAGTGATTTATATCTAAATTCACACAAACACTCACATATGAGTATTTACGGTAAAAAACCAAGAAATTGGTAGAAAAGGCAAGGAAGACAGAACTTTGCGTGTAAATGTGTAAGACAAAGATGATGGTAACAACAGCAAACACCAGTCATTATCATACAGAGAAACCCAAATGATGTCATATTCCTATCAACTTTTCGAAATGAGTGACATCGTTTCAACTACAAGCGACATACATGAAGATGTTGAAATCAGCCATGATCGGATGGGGAAAATAAGGCAAACAGATGTTCATTTTTTCAAAAGCAGTGAAAAGAACAAAATTCGAATTTTTGACACGAATGTCAAGTCAGTCAGTGTTTACTATGTGGTCAAAGACTTGACACTAGTATTACCATACGCATATCGAACAGGTTGCTGTAGACTTTAACAGATGCCTGTTCTCGCTGGTTACCGAAAATTAGGTAGCCAGCCAGAGAGGATAAGTAACTATAATCTTCTGCAGTCAGCAAACTGCCTAATGAACTGTTACCCAACAATCTTGCACAAGGAAATGGAGATGGACTGCACATACTCTGAAGAGACACTCCTTCGTATGAAATCCACAGTGAGAAGTGACACGTTGGACATGTACTTGACAATGACATGAAGAAAATCACATAAAATGGAAATGGATACTCGGAATTGAAGAAGTGAACAGTAACAATAATACTTCTAACGATCAAACACACCATTGATTACTGTAGAAATAACACATGAATGGGCATCGAAAGTTCTGTGCAATACAACTCATCAATTTGCTTTAATGCATATCAGTCTGCTTACATGAAAACAGTTTTGAAGTTCTAAACTAATAATCTATTTGTTTTAAACAACTTAAGAATTTATTGCATAAAGTTTTAGCCGATAATGAAAGCGGAAAATAAAATCCCATAGTTGTATACTACATTAATATTTATTAGTAAAATTAGTCAATATTTTCAACTGGGAACACTCACGCTGAAGTTTGAAATGTTCCGTATAAAGTTTTCGTTGACTGGTCAACATACACCGCTTGTAGTTCAGTAAATACTAAACTGTTAGAACCATCTTCAATTGTTGATGGACAAATAATAGTAGCTTTAAAAAAGTTAGTCAGTACTCCTGCTTGATTTCCATCATCTATCTAAAGATGGTAGGTATATAAAAATAAAGCTTATTAAATTAAATCTCAGCTTTTTAATTAAAATGGTCATTTATTGCTTTGGAAAATGTTATAAATCATATATATGTTATGGCATAACAAAACATAACACTAATTGGTCACTAGAAGGTAACCAGTGTCGCATGTCTAATCCTTGGTGTCGGTGCTGACTGATGACGAGCTCTGACAGACACGAGTCTTAGGCTCAGAGCTTTCGAATGTTTGGCAGCTATTTGGTTTGATAGTGTGATCCTCCTCATTCATACTCACCTACCACCTGATAAGAGGTGAGAACAGAAAATCATGTGTTTTAATGTGATTCTTTAACGACTTATCAACTTAGGTCGAATCCAATGGTCTAATTATCTTTGCTTTCTATTGATCCCCTGACTGATGTTGATTAGTGGAGAAATCTACCTTATAGTTTTCTGTACGTAATGACCATGTATACGATTAGGCCTCTAAATGAGATCAACTGTCATCGTGTCTTTCAGTTAGTTCGATTGGTTAGGAATGACAACTGCAACGAAACACTAACTATCCTAGTGGATAACAATATGATTCTCTAACTGAAAGCAGCAGCCAGTTGCAAATAGGTAGTTAAACAACCAAGTTAAACTTTAAGCCCCACTAACTACCGATGGATTGCGATCACATCAATGATCTTGCAACGATCACTGAGCAAGTTAGTGAAATCTGGCGAATAATTTTGTCATCATCAATAAAATATGCTCATTGAAGTGTTATGTTATTAAATAGGATATCTAGGAAGTTTCAGCTTGGGTTTGGGAAAGATTAAGTTATGCTTTAAGTCAAGGACAAGTTAGGGTTAGGTTAACCTAATAAAAGGCGATACTAGAGTTGGTTCGAGTTAGATTACAGTTTGTTTAGGGATATTTTAACGTTCGGGTTAGGTTCAGAGAAGATTAGGGTTATTGTTAGGGTAAGAAGACCTAAATAATTACATGCATAGTATGTAGTTAGATTACTCTATTGATATAAAAATAAAACTTGTGCACCTCGGCAGAGTATAATTTCATTGCGGATAAAATTTATTTTGATAAAGTTTCACAGTGTTATACAATAATATTTACTGATGATGTTTTGAGCACAGTCCATAGCTCAGTAACTATTACCCTATAACAGTATGAGACTTTATCAAAATAAATTTTGCCCACAATGAAATTATACTCTGTTGATACTCCAACCTAAAATTGAGAGCTATTTTTACCACATGTAATAGGAAGTTATCCTGTGTAACACTTTTATACAGTTTTTATGAATTGTTTTCATAAACGTATGTGTAATGCGTGCATAAAAATGCCTCCTTCACATGATTGATGCCTTCAAGATCATTTGCTGATTGGTAGTTAGTGGTGCTTAAAGTTTAACTTTGCCAGTTAAACATATTTTGTTGAATGTTTTGAGTTACAGGAAATTAAGGAATACTTAAAGAGTCCTGTGAGTATCGTTTGACAAGCAACGGAAGGATCATCGACTGAACTTTAGGTACTTAAAACAATCTAGAATAACTTTAGAGTCATGCGTACCACTATAATTGTACATGTTCGTATTACACTTCTGGTTTTAATTTTTTAAGGGAACTGGAATACATTCCACTGTAGATTTCGTCAGAAAACGTTGAAAACTAGGGATCACTGCACAGATGTGTCACCTAAGTTTACGACTCTACATTGGTGCACACTCATGTTCTCAGTTGGAGTCAAACTCAAGACCTTCAGATTTTAGGATCATTTTGTTGATCATTCAGCACCTGAGTCAGAATTTTAACTGTTGTCAACTGATAATTTAATATTAACGCCAACCAATGTCATCAGTGAACATCCACTTCACATTGACATGGTGAGTTCCACTAACCACGAATTCTCATAAGAACTTCAGAACATCCATACAGTAGCCACTAAAGACCTATAGATCTATAAATAGTAAGTGAATTGGTTAAATTTCAGTGACACATGATGCAATCATATTCATCTTAGTTCTGATGTGAACCGAGTGGTTTAGAACCCTTAATTACATGAAGAAATTATGAAACGAGGAGTGACCTCCGCAGTTTTATTCACACTGATATTTTCAGTTGCTATTCTTAACATAGTGATAAGTGGATTAATTGTATCTTCTAAATAGGAAATTGCATAGAATGTGAACGGTTGTATATATAACTTCAGAAGCAAATATTTTGTTTTCAAAGTCTAGATGTAATTACTGTAATTGCCTTCTAACAACAGTTCGTTAATTCTATCCATAATAGTTTAAAGTGAAAGATGATCTTAAATAAGCGGTAACATTCTGGAATCTAGTGTACATATTTTCTTGTTGAACAAAAACTGATGAGGTGACTGGCACATGTTTTGGAAGGAGTATACAATTTGTCTAACTGTTGAAGCCAATATTATTATTGTTATTCACTTGGGTTCCATTCGGAACACAGGACTTCAAAAGCACATTCATATTTTTTCCCGCTCTCTGTACTTCTCTTTAGCTAGCCCCATGATTGCCTATTGGCTTTCATCTTCTCCCGATGTGATCTCATCCATGTCACTCTCCAACAAACTTTAAACTCACCATTTTCTATTTGGATTCCACTCGAAGGCCTATCTGATGTGTGATGAAACTCAGCGGTTTACTCAGTGTGTATCCGGTCCAACTCCATTTTTTGTGTCATATTTGTTAAGCAACAGGTATTTGTTTGGCTAGTTTCCAGAATGACCTGTTCAAAGTGCTTTTCGTGACGCTCTAGCCAATTTTATGCTCCCTATAGAAGAACCAACTGATTTAACATTGGTGTTGGAAATCCACATGTTATTCTTTATGCTGGATGCAGTAAATTTTCAAACTAACTTCAAAGTGATGAATTTTCGATTCTGGCTTTGACATCCTCCTCCTTGCTGTCGTCTCTAGTTGAAACGATGTTGCTTCTGGATAAGTGAAGGGATTAACTTCCATCAGACTTTTTTCTTCTACAGTAGTTGGTTGGTTGGTTATCTTCATCGCCACCGTAGTCTCTGTGTTCACTTGAAGTCCATTCTTTTCAGTTTCTTCTGCCACTTTGTTGGTTTCGGCTTGTAAGTCTTCGAATTTATGTGACATCAGACATAAATCCTTCGTGAAATCCAGATCTTCTAGAGTCTTCATTGAGTCAATATAGTCTGAATGAATTGTCAGTGTATATCAACAGTTAACGAATTATGTGGAAAACAATCACTCGTAGGACAGCTGTCATCATGCAATTCGAGAAGCTATAGAATCAGCTATCAAAAGCTAAAACAGTTTTGGTGGTCACGTTATTCAGATTATCGGTTTTTATAAGGAAGCTTATGAAGGGTATTGATTGAAAGTAGCACCGTATCATGAACTGGCAGAAGTTAGAATTCATGTAACATTGAATCTCGGTCCAGATGGCTGTTTGATGAGTGAATAAAATAGGACAAAACAGATGTCTAGTGCCATCTAGGTTTCAATGATATCCAACTGATATGTTTCAAGTAACTTTTTAATACAACTGATAAGTACGAATGTGAGTGAAACAGACCTTACATGAGAGAGAATCTACTCTCCTATTCACAATTACAATAAATACAATAATGATACCACCAGAATCTGAAATTTTCAAGAGAAGGCAGAAGTAGGGCTGACCAACACTAAATACACTGATAAGCCATGACACTAAAGACTTTAGAAATATTGGGGGACGTAAAAGTCTAACAAATGTGTCAAAAGCAGCAATTTAAACTTATACATTAAAGTTATTCATAGGCCACAGACAAAAACAGGGGGGGGCTAAATACTTTCGTATATACAACTGACTGTATAATATTTACATACAAAAATGTTTATAAGCTTGAATAAAGTTTGATAAAATTTATACGTATCAATAGTAACTTACATTGCATACTCTACCGATTCGTGAGACAATAATCTGTATGATGAAAAAAAGAAGAGTGTATAAGTAACATTACACAAATATGTTACAAATTTAGTACGTTTTTCAGCAATAAAAACGACAATTATGTTTGAAAAACAAATACATTCTTCACATTGTTGATAGTTTGTTCTGCTTTCATTTATAGAATCTGATTTACGAGTAATCTACATGATTTTAGATAAACGTAATCAGAAAACAGATGAAATTATAGAATATTTATGCAGTGTATACAAAATGTACACAGTTCGAGGGCTGACATATTCACCACAGTTTCCTTTGGAAACTGAATTATTCTGATTAAAATACGTGATCTGCTCGACGTCATAAGTGCTTTCTTGATTACCATTTATGATATCAAGCAGATCTCACATATTGTGATCGGAATAACTTAACTTCCAAAGGAAACTAGGGTAAAATTTCACCACTCTAACTGTGTAGGTTGAAAGTTTTTAACCTACTTGCAAAGTGTAAATTTGATTTACGGCAATAATCAATTCACCTAAGTAGTTGACCAGAAAATGAATGGTTTGAAATGATTGGGTTATTTGAGCTGAGTTAAACCGGGTACACCGCTGATAGCCTTGGCTCCAGACGAGTGAAACAGCCAACCGGTGCTTAAATCACATTGCACTGGCTGGTAGGTACTATTGGTTGCTTTGACATGAATACAACTACTTATCCCTTTATCAATCAGTAGTATATAACCTTACCCAAATACACTTATTCCTATCGAATTCCCGATTTGCAAATTATTTGGTGATTTATTTAATTCAATTTTAGATTTTCCCGACAATTGATTGGACCGAAGTGCTCGGTCTGAGGTTGACATATCGGCTTCTTGTTCAAATGCTTTGACGACGTCTGGGCATGTAATTAGAAGTTAATAGGGGGATGGTGACTAGCAGTGGAATCCAGGAAAATCTGAAATTAAATTAAATAATTAATATAATCCGTTGCAGAAGAGGTGGCTCTCGTGGCCCAAGTGGTCTGGTGGGTGACGTTTTGGCTATTGAAACTATGGGAACTGGGTTCGAGCCTTGGCGGGAACATCATCACTCACTTGGAAATGCAGGTACATCCAGATGACGAGTCCCAAATAGGACTAAATGTGCATCCTGGATTCCACTGCTAGTCACCATCCACCAATTAACGTCTATTTTGTGATCTGTCAAATACACATTTCCTGATAAAATTTCACAAGAATATTTTTAATAACTGAAACTATTTGGATCACATTAGGCCATTTGTTGGACAAGATAATCGTTTGAGATTGAGCTTTTCAGGGGTGTCGCTGAATAGGCTCAGTTCAGAGAGCCCAGTAAAGTCAAACCACCGGAATATTGGCTAGCTGCTTAGGCAAACTGGCCAGCAAGCGTTACTGGTCAGTGTGAGTGGTGCATAAACTATTCATAACAATCAAACAGTAATGCATACTGACACTCTAGAAAAAACTTTGACCCTCTCTCTGTCTCTTAAAACGAGTTTATAAGTTTACTGACTGCAGATGATAAGTTTGTGGAAATATATGTCTGTTCATTAGACAAATTGTTATAAATTTCAGTGTTTTTGAGTATTAGGAGGAGATTCAAAGCTCATCAGTAATTAATTAATTAGATTGTCATTAGAATCTTTCCATAGTAAAGACAAAACAACTTACTGATTTATCACAACTTTCTACAGTCTCATTGGCCAATTCACGAAATAAAAAGTAAACCGCATTGTGAAACTCGAAGCTGTGTATAAATAGTGTACTGTCTGAAAAGTGTATAAAATGTTTCAGTGAAAAGATGTTTGATTCCAAAATACTGAGAGTGTAGAAGAAAAAATCAATATATATTTATTGCTCATAATCAGATTTAAATTGCGTTGTTTCTCTGTTGCTGATCCTTTGATTTTCCTGGTAATAATACTTACTAATAACTCTAGTATAGGTGCTGCATAATCCTTATTACTGTAGATTCGATGAACAGGTAATAAGTGATCAACTTCTCCCCACTCTACCACCCCACCCCCGCGTAATTATGCTACAATTGGAACTGTAGCTAAGTTTTTCCGTATTTTATGATTATGTGTTAGCGAACATGTTGCAATTCTATTATAGAATTATTCTTCTCAGTAGTGTCTTCATATTTTCTAATCTGCCTAAGCATTATTAAATTACACTTAACTGATGCGTAATTCAGCATTTTCTTGGGCTCGTTTTTAGATGTTTGCATAGGATGTAGTTAATTTTAAACCAGTTTCAATGGGAAGTCGAGTGTTTAAAAATCAAGAACATGTTTTAATGCTATTCAGCCATATACTTCTATATATCTACAAGAGTCACGTCTGGCAATAATCACTCCTCTTTTCATGCATTGGATTCCTATGAAATAGTTTTGAATTCCTGCTTTTTGTTAGCATTCGATGCAGCACAAGCGTTATTCATTGTCACTAGTGAGGAACTGTCTTCACACCTGATTTAGTGAATGCCTTTGGTTGTGCCTTATCACTGAGTAGTTTAATCTCTGGTGATTTATAATTCTACGGCAAGGAACTAACAGTAAGTTTATAAATCTTGTTTGGCTAAGATACATATATCTATACATCATATGGTTGAACATGATTGGTGGGAATCCATGAACCAGGGTTCCAAGCTTATAGGCACTCGCCAGCAGGACATATCTGCGAACCTCAAGGAACTAACGTACGCTTGGAGATTGGAACCCGCGACATTCAGTACCAGTGACCTAGCTAGGTGATCACGTCGTGTCAACACTAAGGACCAGATGGATGATATTGCTCACACCACCCAGTGACTAATCAGTGTATCCATTGCAATATCCTACAGGAGGGAAATCATGAGTCTAGACAAATCAGTAGTAACGTCTCTGACTGCAGCACTGAGTGATGTGAGTTCACATCTCAGAGGGAACATTAGTTACTTCAAGGTTGTAGGTATAACTTCTTGACAAGTTTCAGTAAGCGCGAATCCTGGATTCAGAGTTGCCTGATAACAACCTTTAACCATCAGAATATAATTCAGAAAGGATACCGCAATGGAGACTCTTTTGGCTTGGTGGTCACATTGCAAACCTGATTGATAAAATTCAGTCATCAACAGCACTAACAACTAAGCAGGTGTCATTGGTTGCTTCCCAGTGACAGTTTGAATAAGCTTCTAATGATGAACAGTAGGGTGCAGCAGGTCAGGTGTGAGGCAAATACTCGCCGAAGGCACTGGCTAAGGGTCGCGCTATGTCGTGAATTGTCAGAAGGTAGAATTCATGGGCCATTGGATTGGATCCCAATGGCTTAAAGGTCTATGAGATCGCCTTAAAACCAGAAGGTTCTGGGTTCGAATCCTGGTGGGTGCGTACTGATGAACAGTCCCATACTAGGACGAAACATCTGTCCAGAACTCCCAGGTTTTCCAATGGTTCTCTAACTAATGTCAGCTCATGATGAAATCCTGTAACCAATCAAATCCCTAAAAACCAACAATGAACAAAACGGCTTCAGTTTATTCCCCTTCAGTTCTTCATAAAAACTTATTACTATCTTCAGTTTTTTTTTTACAAAACTAACTGGGAGTATTTCAGTCTGATAACACATACACGATACTGCCGACTAAAACAAAAAGCATCATTTCTAATTATAACTGTTCACAGAAAATCCTCAAACGACTGAAAAGAAAGTACACTATGCGGTGTAACCAATTTTCAATTTTTGACTTTTAGCCCATACATTTCTATTTCTATAAAAATTTTGTTGAAAAAAAAACAGTTTAATCAGAGGGACCTGTTCAACTTACTATTCTGTTGAATGATTTTATCCTCTGCTGGTGTACGAATAGGATATTTAAACGGTTTCATTGAATTCATATTCTCTACAGACTTTATTTTTAATATATTCACTTGAGAATTTTGTAATAATCCTGTTTTAGTAGCCATATAGAGATTTTGTGTACTTGCAACTAGACCAATAACTGGTTGATCTGGATCTATTGGACAATGATTTACACTTTTCCAGTGTATTTTTGATGGAGCACGTAAATCAATAGCCTAAAAGTTTATTTTTTAAAAACACGAGAGAAATTATTCATATAAATATTTGTTGCATTTACATCAGCAATGAGGAAATATTCAACATTTTAGAAATCGAATCCTGCTTTCACAACAGTTTGTTTACTTGGACAAAGTCGATTTATAAGGCTGATATAAAATTATCCTTAAGTGACTTAAATCAGACACTTCAAACTGTTATCCGAAGTGAGTACAATAGGTTTAATCGTCCATATGCACAAGCTTAAATTGTAAAAATCAAAATCAATCCAGATTTTATATGCAAAAAATGGATAGAAATACTTAATTCTTCAGTGTGTCGCACACTTACCCGTCTGCACTTCCCAACTGCATCACATTTTCTATTATCACATCTTGGTACACCTGATATAGTATAGTTTTAATAAACACTGAGCTCAAGAAACAGTCGCGAGCGATGTGAGCCCAACTTTCCAAACGGACATCGTTTCACATGAGTTTTTGCACACATCTAAGTGACAAGTGCCAGTGAGTCCGAAATCTAGAATCAAGCCTTTCTCTCGATCGCATCCAACCACCTAACACACCAGACTCTTTAGCCTCCGCCTTTAAAGTCATCTACAAGGCAAAAAGTAATTTACCCAAATCCCTACGTACCCGACTCATCTGTATTGCTGAAGCTTTGGCTAACGAAACAGAAAAGCCATATCTCTGTGTACAGAAAAAGTTCGTTCAACCCCTCCAACTTTCATGAACTTGATCCCTTTATGCTAAAGTATGGTAATCCCCAATCATATTTTACCTCTATCAGTTTTTCATTTTTTCATTTTGTATATTCAATTTGTAGTCTCTTTCTTATTACGTCAATTGTTACGATTACTACTCTCACTTTGAACTGTCCCCATTATTATTTCACTTGTTCCACTTGTCATTCTAAATCAATTCCTTTTTACAACGTTAAGTTCTATGCTATTAAATTTCACACAATATTATGTAACGTTTTTATTTTATTCAATGTGTCTAATAATCCTATAATTGCATACCCTTTTTCAAGTTCTATCCATCCTATGAATTATCCTCATAGTTATCTTAAGAATGGATTTAATGATTATAGATAGTTCTGTATGCATCTGTAAAGTGTTTTTATTCATTCGGTCTTCTTAATTCACTTTTATGAGATGATGTGTTGCGTTGTATAATGAAGAGACTTAGAGTTCCCTTAACTACACTTATTCCTTTTTACAACACTAGTCTTGCGCTTAATCAATCAAAATTGGATAGGTAATCATAAGGATTCATCTCCAGTTGTGTTTAAAAATTCACCTGTTTACTTCACAACAAGTCCAGTGAAAGCACATAAAGGTGTGCATCCACCCAATCCTCCGGACATGTCTCAAAAATCCTAATCCACAAAGTTCCCCAGTCCCTTGATATCACCATTAGTCGACATTTTTCCAAAGCCGATACTCAGGTTACACTTGTCATTATTATTACTAACAAAGAGAGAATTTCAACTTTACTTCAGTTTTGTGAATCTACTGTTATGAAGCAATTCAATTCAGTTCTGTGTATGCAGAAAGAAACATTGATTAATCTCAGTCTACCCTGGTAGCAATTTTTCCACATGTTTTAATTTCTTCATTGTTATTACTATTATTATGAGCCTTTCTTATTTTGACCCACTCATATTAACTTACTCAAGTGATTTTATATCACTTCCAATTGCTGACTTGTACGGTATTGTGTAATCTTTTTTACTGTATATTGCTTTTCGTTCGATACTTATGTTGTTAAGTCAATTACCAAAACTTCTCGAATATCCTTCCAAATTTGTTTGATGAATAACTACTTTCCCTTTTTGCTATTAACAACTAATTATGTCATCCACAATGGAAAACTCAGTGAGGCGTTCGAAGTGAATACAGAAGTAAGACAAGCTGGCTGCCTATTATCGCCGATGATATTCTAAACAGTGGTGGACTGGATTATGCGTCAGACTGTGGGAAGCAATTAGTCAGGAATACGCTAAACCACCAATAAGAACACTCTAGAAGATCTGGACTTCGCAGATGATATATGTCTAATGCCACACAAACTCGAAGAATTGCAGGCCAAAACCAACAAAGTGGCAGAAGAAGTGGGCAGTGAATACAGGAATTCAGGTGAACATAGAGAAGACAGAGGTGATGAATATAACCAACGAACAGCAATAACTACAACCAGTAGCAATCACCACCAACGGGATAGATTTAACAGAAGTTACCTCCTTCACTTTTCTAGGCAGTAAGTATCGTTTCAACAACAGGCAGATGGCACGGATGAAGACGTCAAAGCCAGTCAGAATCGAAAAGGCAAGCAAGACACGCGTCCATCACTCTGAAACCAGTTTGGAAATCTTCTGCACTCAGCCATCCAGCATAAAGAACAAGATTCGGATTTTCAACACAAATTTGAAGTCGGTCAGTCAGTTCTTCTGTGCGAGTCAGAAACTGGCAATGTGCAAAAGTCACGAAAATGATATCCAACAAGTCACAGACTTTTATCAAGAGTTTCCAACTTCACTGGCTCCATACTGAAGATCGAATGACCAGCCGGCCGACCAGAAATAATTAGTAACAAGAAACTCTGTCTGGCTGGAAACAAACCAACCAGGAACCGATCGCTCAACAAATGTTTAGGAGAAAATGGAGATGGATCTGGCATATGTTGAATAGGCCGCCGAATGTCACCGGATGCAACGTAGGCCATCTCTCGAGTCGAATCCAATAGGGGAAGCGACGAGTGGGTTGTAAGTGCCAGGGTGAAATGGAGGAGATCGTTTGAGGAAGAGTTGAGGGAGTTTAGGCAATCATAGACCCAGATGAAGAGGAAGGCAGAAAATAGAACAAACTGGAGATGTGTTGTTGAAGCCCTATGTTCCACTCAGAAACCAAGGCAATGATAATGATAACAATATACTTAACTCTTCATTGTTTCCTTAGACTAAGTTCTATATGACAAATTTCTGTTCAATAGAATAAAAACATGTAAATTTTTATTTCGTCAATAATATGTATATTTTAGGCTGTGTACAGTTGAAGATGAGCCTAGGAATAAAATGGGTATGTTTTTATAGTGGTCTACTAGTTTTCATTAAAATTCTTATTTCTTTTTCTCACTCTACAAACTTTCAATGACTTCATTGGATGAAAAAATTCTTTTTAGCTCTTTTTAAAGTAAAAGAAGTCAACTGAAACACTTTCATTTTTATTTTGTGTACATTTTTAAGGAATATTTTAAGAAAGCAGATCACATTGAGGTTTCGGGTAGATAAAAAACAAGTTAAATGCAGCATAGCAGGCCACTTTAGTTTATTTAACAATTTAACTCTTTAGCATAACTATTCAGACAAAATGATGGATAATTTGAAAGTGAAATTTCCATTTTGTGTTTATTAAACTATTTTTCTGAGAATTTAACTCAAATGTAACATAATTAGTTATTTAATAACAATAATAATAATAATAGTGACGAGAATCACATACCTGACGAAGTGAACATTCAGCTATTACTCCATTCGATAAACAAACATAAATTCCACTTTGATGTAGGACGGAGCCACCGGTAAGTCCAGAAAATATTTTGTCTACAACTTTCACCAGTGTTACAGTATACTGATCACAAGGTATCTAAGATGTAGGAGCATTCAACAAATATATGTATAGAAGGTTTATAAAAATTCCGAATAATTATTGTTGTAAAACGTGTTGCATAATGAGTAAGTAGTCTGAAGTATTTCATATGATAATACTTAACTCTTCGTCAATAAAACTCAGTAATTGCTTATTACTATAAGGATGCTTGGAGGTGAAAGTGATTTTCATCACTGATGTGACTACGAGACGTGACTACTAAGTGGGTTACAGTTGAACAGACTGATAAGTATTATTTCAATTTCTTAATAATCATCTTGTCGGTTAGTACCCTCTACCCTCTACAAGTCCTCCTCCCCTGCGGTAAGACAATTATAGACTGGTTCAGAGTGTCTAGCTAAGTTGAGTAACATAATTACATCACAAAACCAACCTTAATATACAAGGTGAAAAACTGATATATATCCATATAATATGTGTGCTTTGTTTGACAGTCTGACCTTGGTGATATTTATCCATATAATATGTGTGTTTGTTTGACAGTCGGTTATATTTTGCTATGTGTTCATGGATCAGTATTCCATTATAATTAGCCAATCATGTTAAGACTGTCTATCGATTTGTTCATTTTGAATATTCGCTCACACACGTGTTCACACACTTTCGTACATTCATATATATTTTTGCTCTCACACTCTTGTGTGACAGATTGATTCTCCTTGTGTTTGGAAAATAGAAGTATCATCGCAAACCTAGTGGTCTTCTGATTTCCGTTTTTCTTGTGTCAGGACTATTAAATTCACGACCAGTACATAACAAAAACAGAAGCAGATTAATATAGTTTTATTTTCTTATTAACTAATTACAGGTTTGATTAGTTTGATGTTGGCTAGCAGTGTAATCTATGGTTCACATTTTATCCTATTTGGTCAGCTATATGTACTTGCATCTCTGCTGAGTAATGGTGTAAAAATTGAAGCTCTAACTACTGTTAGAAGCCACTTATCGAATAACATAATGTTAGTCTTTATACATAGTTCGGGCGTCCTTATTAAGAGTCCGGATGTCAGCAGAGTCCAAGCATTTCGGTAGAATCACATCAAATCAACATACCAGAAATGCAAATTAACTTCAAGAAATATAGGTTTCATGAATAATCCCCCTTCCAGTCCTTCATAAAAAGAAAGAAACAGTTAGTTCAATGAAGATACCCTTTTCAGCGAATTCATGTTTTTTAGCTGTACAAGTGCATTTACAAGCAATTTTTCTACTAAACAGGATAATAACAACAGTGATGAGCTGTCATAATCATATTGATAATTTTCAGTTTTATACAAGGTACGTAGACAATATTTTCATCATTTGTGACAGTAATTATGACATCAGTCAGTTGTTATAGGTACTTCATAACCGCCTTTCAGAAGTTAAATCTACTCTTGAAATGGGAAACGAATCCGAAGTTTCTTTCCGTGATGTGGAACTAACAAGAAGAAACAATGGAATATTAAGAAAATCAGTCCATAGGAAACCCACTCATGACGATCAACTAAAATGTTTCAGCATATAGGTGTCTCTTGAAAGAAAACAAAAAGTGAATTAGATCTCTTGTCACTAGTATCCGATGCACCTGTAGCCCTGAAGTTCCGGAAGAAGATGGATACCCACTGAAATTCACTGACCAGAATCTCAAACCAAAAGTTCAGAGATAAGAAACATTATTTACTAATAAATGAACCTTTACATGAACCATGATTTCAAGATAGACTTGATGTGTGATATTCTTAAGAGAAGAATTTGAATATCTTTGAGAAGAACATCCTTCACTGCAGCCTTAAGGGTACTGCCCTCCATCTGTGTGCTGGTTTGAAGAAGACTGAACGATAATATCTCACATTTGATCAATTCCATTTGTACAGATCAGTTCACTTGCTGCTGCGAAGCCACCTATATTGGTCGTTCGACACGCATCCTCTCTAAAAGTGTTCAAGAACAATATCCTGCATGGTTGAAGAATAGTAGTAGTGGTTATATAAGCAGTGTGACAGTCGAACACTATATCAACACTGGTCATTCCGTCTTAACAAAATCAGCTTTCAAAGTAATCTACAAAGTGAAAAGCAATCTGCCAAAAACAATACGCTTTCATCTCCTCTGTATTTTCTAAGTTCTAGCCGTTCTGACATAAAAATCGGACCTCTAAGTACGGAAGAGAACTGTTCAACCACTTTTACTGTCATAGTAACAACCTTGTTGTTTTCTAAAAACTTTATCTTGTTTGTTTGTTTTCTAACTCCTTGTTACTATTGTATTTTTTCGAGTGCTTACGTAACACAGCGCTTCCCTCCATTTCTGTGTGCATACTAATTGCAGATGATATATTAAATTATTAATCTTACTAAGCGACTATCATGCGCTTATTCAACTCATCTCACGTATTCATGTATGTAACTACCATGATTATGGCAACTCATAACTTTTGTTACTGTCCTCTTTTGTGGAAAAAATTGTATATAAGTGCAACTGTACAACTAAAGAAAAAGAATTCGCCGAATACAGTGTCTTAGTTGAACTAACTGTTTTGTTCCTTTAATCAAGGCAGGCTTATCTTTTCATATTTCATATATTCCTTATTGACTCGAAACAGTAAAGAATCTTTATTTTATCATAACCTGGTAACTTGGTCGTTGGTCGTTTTTGAAATAAGTTATGAAACCATATTCGTATTTAGCAGAAACTATTATTGGTATTATTACTGTGCATGACCAGAGAAACCTGAAAATAAAATTCAACTGTTTTTTTAATGGAAAAAACGATTTTATTCTTTTCGTTACTTACTTTCGTATGGGAATCTCGTTGAGGGCATGTTGTTAATTCTTGACTCGATAAAGACCATGTGGCTTCATCTTTCTTCACAAAGGCATCTACAGTTATTCGTACCACTGAGTTACTGTTCATAGGTAAGAAAGCATGGAGACGAATAAATGAAATCTAATTATGAAGTTAAGTGATAGCATAAAACAAGTGAAAAGTTCCATTTTATTATTTGTGATGATGAATTTACCTATTAAGGTATTTATTCAAAGAATTTATCAAGTTTATTCTGAATTAATTCACGTTATCACTTATTTTTCTGTTAACCAATATTTTTCGGAGACTGCATTCTATTAGAATAAATTAGAATTACAAGTTGGACTACGGTTTGTGATTATTGTTTCATGAATATTCTAAAGACTGATTCTCCTAAGAGTATTTAGTGACTGTTTATAACGTCAGGTGTATATGTATATATACCAAGTGTTAGATTGCAGGGATTTGATTCTTTACAGGTTCCATCAAGAGTTAGTATCAGTTGACAAACCACTCGCAAACCCGAGAGCACTGGATAGTAGCACAAAACCATCTGGATTCGAACCCAGGATCTTCCGGTTACAAGGCGAGCCCGTACGCCTTTAGCCAATCAGATCCAACCGAACAGCCCATGAATTCGAACTTCCGCCAATTCGTGACTTTAGCGGGACCACTAGCCAATGTCGTCAGCATGTATCTGTCCTCACTTCTGACCGGGTGAACCCCAATATTTACGACTTCTCAATAAAACTCCAGGGAGCTTCGTCCTGTAGCCAGTTACTGACTAGAGGGCGACAGATTAATTTTCAAATGTTAGTTTGTAAGGATTTGATTTGTTTCAAGTTTGACTATAGACTGAATAGTCTACGAGTTTTTTTGTAATCGGAACGCCCCGGGTTCGAACCCAAGGGGGTGCATAACATCGATGAGCCCCTAACTGAGATGAGACAAACGCCCAGCACTCCCTAGTTTCCAATGGTTCTCTAACTGATATCAACCTCTGGTTAAGATTGGAATAAATCAAATCTCTATAAACTGACTCTTGAAAATTCAATGAAGCTTTATATTCTAAATAACCAACCTAACATATTGACATTGTTTTCAAAAGCTTTTTGTGTCTGCAGAAAGTTTAACCAGGGTGATAATGAAAACTTTCTATTCTGCCCATCTGTTCCTATCCTTCATTAACCATCGAATGCTCATGAAGCAACTGAAAGCTGTCTTACCTAACCTTGTCTCTTCTTCATGCATATACAACTTCAGCTCTTCCTGTAGTATAAGTTAAATAGGGAGTACGATTAGGCGGGTTCTTCTACTGTTTCGAAAACATTTACCAGCTTGGTTCAGCAGGTGGGAAATTAAATGCATAAAAAGCTCGACTCTGTCACAACTGGTTGACATTGGACATCGCATCGACTCCAATAGAGCCTTCAGGGTTATGTACCGAATTCTGAAGTTGTTATGACGTACAGTTCTATCACGTCTGCAACACATATCTGAAGCTGTTGCAATGAGATCGACTAAACAGTAACTTCGTATTCAGAAAGAACACGTTCAGAAGTTGCTTCTATGAAGGCCAAACTTTGAATAAAGTTTCTTCTACACATCAAGAGTGCCTCTTCCCCTTATTCCTCTTGGGTTTATTTCTTTTTTCTTTGCTTTTTATTACAATTATTACTATTCGTTATAATTTATACCCTTCATTTAAACATTCAATACTATGGAATTTTCCTTTTTTTGATGTAGTTCTGTTCTCTGAGCTGAATGATGATTCAAACTCAAGTATGCACTGAAGATGTTGCCTAGTAGGACAACGAAATCTTCACAAATAAGCCATCCAGTTCATAGAACACAACTGCACCAAAATCATCCACTTAAGTTACAGATCTCCATTATATCTAATTTTCCACTTACACTATCCGGACTTATTATTAGTGATATTATCTCTGTTTTCGATATATGCCTCCATCTGTTTCATTTCACGCAGTGGTTATTTCATGATGAACTTCTCACCTTTTATAACCTTGAACTGACTTGTCCAGTTTTTCCTACCTCACATTCTTAGAGTCTATTATGACTAATCATCACTATTGTCTCCTGTTTCACAATAATTTGTATTTGAATTCAGCCTAGCACTTTTGTCACACAAATACTACTATTTATTTTGACACCTCATAACTAATCTGTTATTCTACGTTAAAAATGCATTCGCCGCATAACTGGCCATTATTGTAATGACAATAATTATTATATTTTATAATTGTGAGAACCTGAAGAGAAGGATGTATTGAAAAGAATACTCTTCGTTCAGACTGACTTTTAATGCCATTTATAAATTATCCTTTTGAGAAATGATGGATCTGTAAAAATCTTAAAAGGAAATTACAAAGTCTTTCAAGTCAGATTTCATCACAAACTGACATCAGTGATAGAACCATTGGAAGCTAAGAAGGACTGGATATCTATCTAGATTTTGTTAAGTTTTTGTGCTCCACCAGTCTAATTGTCTGCGGTCTGCTACTTCGACCTATGAATTTGACCAAACAGTCATGATTGCAGGTTATTAAACAAACTAAGTTACTTTGTTTAGTAGGCTTCACAGGGTCCTGTAACTAGCATAACTTGTTTTGTGTCAGTTTGTAGACTTGAATAATACTTTTATTCCTGCCTTGTTAGGAATTTCTGTTTAGGGTGTGAGAAGTTTCTTCCTTGTATGGTAGGACTACCGATGCTTTAAATTACATTTTGTCGATGTTGTTATAATTTTGTGTATGTTTGCGACTTGTCATCCTTATTTTTATTTCCAATATCGTCCTTAGAATTTCCTATATAATTCCTGATTAATTAGCCAGGGTCATTATTAAGTATCAAAGCTTCTGTTATACGTTCTACTTCCTCCTTTATGTTTTTATTGGCACAATTTAGTTCTTTCGCCCTATCACTTAAACATCACACTAATCCTATTTTAACTGACATGGATTGAGATGAACCGAAATCCAAATATAATTTTGAATGTAGTTGGTTTTGTGTAAACATATGGGTTTAACTTTCCATATTGTTGTCTTTTTATGATACAACCCAGCACTGGTAGCTCCCCTTTGTGAAGAGGAAGAGTATTAGTACTAACAGTATTAGAAGAGCTTTCCCCTGACTTAGTGGATTAGTGTACCTGAATCAGGGCAGTAATTTGTGATCGGTGTAAACTTAAGATCCTATGCAACTAAGTCCTATTTATTCTGTTATTGTTCAAATCATCACTATAAGTCTTATATGTATGTATGTTATAATAAAAGTCAGTATATATTACATAATCAGCTTGGTAAAACAAAATATTTCCCAGTCACATCATTCAGAAAACACATACATTTATAAAGGGAATCCTTATCCCCTCACTACCCACGTAACTATTGGTGAAGTGAACAAAGTTACTGCCGACTTACTTGACTGCAATGAATATGCTGTTTGATACTGGTTGAACGGATATTTGAATTATACGACTTCCTGGAGGGAAAGTGAAACTTTTATGTGTTGACATCCATTCAGGTGCTGAATGAAATCTAAAAGGATCATGTTAAATCATACTTCAAAAATCAAATCAACATCAAATAATCTTTACTGACTAAAAACTTTCAATATGGAATCAAAGATAAACAAGTAGAAAATGAAAATTTATTGCGATTTTTGAGTTTTCTCTTGAGCAGAAGCTTTGATGGAAACTTAGAGTTGACTAGTGGAAGTCAGGATTTGTGTTTCATCCTATCAGAATTCCTTATAGTTAAACATTTCAGAACTCAGAGACTTGCCAAAAGCAGAATGTGCCACTCCAGTGACCAAAATAACCATTTAGGTTAAGCGTTCTCAGTTAAAAACCTAAAGAACACGTGTATTTCCCTTTAAGCTTTTTGAAAGTAATCGGTAGGAAGCCCTGAACATCAAGGTTTCTTTCTTATTGACATTATTCAACAAGGCATATCTGCAACCTGGAAAGTATTGGTCTCCATTCAGAGATACGAACCGCTTCACTCAGGGATGCAGTTAGAGACATTACTATTGAGCTAGCGAGACTCATGACTGAATTGGTAATACTAATTGGTCATCAGGGGGGGGGGGGTGAAACCAGTATAATGTTTCTAGTCCTTTTGTACTATTCAGTTGGTAATATAGTCACAAATCTAGTTAAGTCATCATCGCTATATCCTTTTTGAATTAATGCAGATAGACTGACTGTATCCAGTCAGTACCACTAAGGACTGGGTTAATGACACTGGTTACACATAACTGACTAGTCAGTACAACAGATGAGACTGAAATAACAATCTGCCACTGGTTAATTTATCAACAAATAAGCAACCAAAAGAGGTGTATTCGAAGTTGAGCTGTCTTCTCATTACTTGCGTTCCGAGTAGAACATTCAGCTGGTGATTTTCTAACTCACGCTCAACCTTCTCCAAATCCTGGGTTTACTATCGGCAATTATTCCTATTGTGTGAAACAGATGAATGGGTGATGCACACTGTGAACAATTTCAAATGCTATTCCGCGGCCTAGTTATTGTCTTATGTCAATGAGGTGCGCAAATGCTGAACTATTTTTCTTCCTTTAGTCAGGTATGATTTGTAATTCTTATGAAAAGTATTCGACAGTGGACGTGTTTCTTTTTAGGCCGTATTGTACTCACGCCACAGGAACACTTAGAATGATAAATGAACTCAGAATTTGAAGAATTCCCTGGTTGTTTTACGCACTTGAAACCTAGACGAAATCATTAAACAACTAGAAAAGTATTCAGAAGACTCTTTATTATACATTTAGTGGTGATCGTCATCGAATTCAAGTTTCCAGAAGCAAATTCGCAGATTGTGTGAATATATTGTTATGGTTATAAATAACAAATTGTCCTTGAAGTATGGCACAATTATTCACTAGCTGTTCATTTTATCAAATAGACTTATCTAAAGAGGAATTGCTTTATACCACTGCATCCAAAATTCTACTTGTACGTTGGTTTCAAGAAGGTCGATTTTCCAGGAATTGCAGTAATACTCGGCTTGATCATTGTAACATTCATATAGTCTGTTGCAAAGTTGAGTGGAAAACTGTGGCTGCTAAGAATTCTCAGTTTATAAAACCCTTCCATTACAAATTATTACGTGCTTAGCATACCATAAAACCGCGTCGATAAGGAAGTTGCACTAGCGACGATAAGACAGATTTTACAGGGTTGCATTCAGCCTACCATATAATCGAATTCACAATTCTCTCAGCTGAGTCAAACTTAGTACAACGGGCTAAACGACCTTGTAGTTTTCAGATCACTTCGATAATCTAGCTAACAAGCGCTACTAGTTAATACGAGCGGTAGTCAACTACTTATATCAGCTAATCAGTCACTAAGTAGTATGTATGGCATTACCCAATGTGTTTACTGTAATTATTCCCTTGAATTCAGTATGGAACATACGGTCTCATTGGCATATCTCTATTTATTCCTTTTCTCTGAAGTCCTCTGCAGCTGGCTCCACGTTTACCCATAAGCTACCATCTTCTCCTCACATGATCTCCTGCATGTCAACCTCGGACGCCCAGCTCACTGTTCATCTTTCGGGTTCCACTCAGTGACCTGTTATCTGATGTCGCTTGAATGTCTTTTCAACCTGCACCCAGTCTACCTCCATTTTCTTCGTCTTAATGATTGGGCAATAGGTTTTTAGTTAATTCGTTCCTAGATTTCTGTCCCAGTTATTGTTTCTGGCTGACAATCTTATCTTCACTATCGACCTTAGCCGTATGCTGGTGATAGTCTAAAGCTTTTAGTGACTCTCCAAGTCCCTAAACCATATAGAAGCATTGACATTGGTGTCAAACATCTGAATCTTATTCTCTATGCTGGTTGCAGTGGATTTCCAGACTGATTTCAGATTAGTAAAAATCTGTCTTGCCATCCCAATTTGTGTCGCATGTAGTTGAAATAATGCTGTCTATATAAGTGAAAGAAGTCACCTCGTTTAAATTCCTCCCATTGATGGTGATTAGCGATTCCCGTTGCTTTTGGTTAGGCATCTTCATCCTCTCAATCTTCACTTTGTTTACTTGAAGTCCTGTCTTTTCTGTTTCTTCTGCCAAATTGTTGGAATTCGCGTGTAATTCATCGAGGTTGTATGACACTGGACATAAATCTTCCATGAAGTTCAGAATTTCTAAAGCCCTTTTATCTGTCTAGCAAATGCCTATCTCCTCACCCTGAAGAACTTTTTGTATGATCAAATCTAGCACAATTTGAAATATCATCGGTTACAGTGGTCAACCTTGTATTACTCCTGTCTTCACTTCAAAGCCTTTGGTGAGCTTTGCATTGTGCATCACTTAACATGTGGCATCATAATTAACATCATCATATAGATGTTGAATTAGGATGATAAAAGTGTGCACAACTTTACTCCGTAGTTCTGAATAAATTTCCAAGTTACTTTACGGTTAACGCTATCGAAGGCCTTTACGAAGGTCAATGAAGTTGAGGTAGAGCGATATCTGATTGCCATTCTGCAATGTTCCGTTTGATGGTGTTTCTGAGTAGAGTTACAGTTTGATTATGTCGGTCTAGCATAGTTTATTCACTTTCACACATTATCAAACTACTCATTTATTGATGTCAAGTAAAATACTAAGTCACGTCATCCTGGAGAGGATAAAAGATGCACTGGGTACAGAACTCCACCCTACCGCCCAAGAAAAGCTAAATTCAGGGAAGGCAAATCATGTGCTAAACGAATTGCAACTCTACGCGTCGTCATCACAGAACAAAGCATACAATGGAAGTCAAACCTCTACCTTAACTTCATCGACTTCGAAAAAGACTTCGAGAGGCAGCGTTGGTCGAGAAGTAATTTGGAAACTACTTCTACACTACCGCATGCAGTGCCCAAAACCTTATCAGCCTCATACAACAGCTGGCTATTTGACAATGCCATGTGTCAGGTGATCCACAACAGAAAACTCAGTGAGGCGTTCGAAGTGAATACAGAAGTAAGACAAGCTGGCTGCCTATTATCGCCGATGATATTCTAAACAGTGGTGGACTGGATTATGCGTCAGACTGTGGGAAGCAATTAGTCAGGAATACGCTAAACCACCAATAAGAACACTCTAGAAGATCTGGACTTCGCAGATGATATATGTCTAATGCCACACAAACTCGAAGAATTGCAGGCCAAAACCAACAAAGTGGCAGAAGAAGTGGGCAGCGAAGACAGGAATTCAGGTGAGCATAGATAAGACAGAGGTGATGAATATAACCAACGAACAGCAACAACTACAACCAATAGCAATCACCACCAACGGGAGAGATTTAACAGAGGCAGTAAGCATCGTTTCAACAACAGGCGGATGGCACGGATGAAGGTGTCAAAGCCAGTCAGAATTGGAAAGGCAAGCAAGATACGCGTCCATCACTCTGAAATCAATTTGGAAATTTTCTGCACTCAGTCATCCAGCATAGAGAACCAGATTCGGATTTTCAAAACAAGTGTAAAGTCAGTCAGTCAGTTCTATACGGGTCAGAAACTCGCAATGCACGTAAGTCATGAAAAGGATTTTTAACAGGTTACATACTTTTATCAACAGCTGCCCCTGTTTGGCTGGCTCAATACTGAAGATCGAATGGCCAGCCGGCCGGCCGGCCAGAAAGAATTAGCAGCAAGAAACTCTGGTTGGCTGGGAATATAAACCAATCAAGAGCGGAGAAAATGGAGATGGATCGAGCATACCATGAGGAGGCCGTCGAATGACATCGCGCGCAGTGGAGGCCATTGCTAGAGTTGAATCCCAAAGGGGAACCGACAAGTGGGTCATAGGTGAGAGGGTGACACGGAAGAGGTCATGAGAGTTGTAGGAGGAGATGAGAGTTTGTGGTCAATCGTGGATCCGACTGAAGAGGATATCAGAAAAAAGGAAGAAAGTGGAGCTGTGTTTTTGAATCCCTATATTCCACTCTGAATGCACAAATTTTGACATAGAAGAAGATGAAAACTGAAGAAATCATAGAAAAATGCAATCTAAATAGGTGACATAGTTGACCACTTAGAGTAATTTGGCACAAAATTTCAATATTATATAACAACAGAACGAGTGTTAAACAAAAATAATAATAAACGATATAATGGCTATTACTTTATGTCAGTAACACGATGATAATAATAATAATCATACTGCTTTGAAAATCAATATTTCATTTGCCTTTAAAATGCTTGTTTATATAAGCACACAAGCATACAAAACTATGTATACATATTACATCTACAGACAAATCTTCACACAATTGAAAATTTTTGTTATTTTGGAATTTTAGTCTTGTTTATTGATTGATCACACTAATAACTTTAACACAAGTTATCATTTTGAAAAAAGCGCTTAAATGTGGTATTTTGTGTGTTCTGAGGGATGAATTGATTGGAAAAAGCTTCACTGATTGATAGAATAGTTTGAGCAGTCAATAATAGTAAAAACTTCCTATTGAATATGCTTTATTACTCAATGACAGCTAATTTATTTGGAATATTTT